GGACCCACAGAAAGTCAGATATGTTTGTTTGAATGTAGAGAAAATCTCAGAATTTTGCCAGTGTCTCAGTGTCCCTCTGTGTGAGTGAGAGGAGGGGCGCCTGTCAGGTTAATTTTAACCCTTTATTTGCTGTGTGCGACTTCTCTGGCATTTTCGGGGGCCTTAACATCCTCGAAAACTCTTGAAACTTTGCACACGGGTCAGAACCCATGGCCATCAGGGCCGGGCTGAAGCTGGTAACCGGGCGTGGCAGGGCGGCTCGACAGCGCCCCCTGGACTGGGATTCGAACATTTGTCCATAAATCAAACACACTTGCATGAATTAATATGAAACTCGGTACAATTATAGATCACATCAGGCCAAACAACTTTCGTGCTCTAAGTTTTATGACAGTTCAAATGGAAGTTATTTATGAATTATGAATTATGGGTTGTTTGAATAATTGTCCTAGGAGAAATACATCAAATCACAATGCATGTGTTTACCAATCACAACCAAACTCGGTGTGCATGAAGTCAAGACATTGAGGATGCTCAATTCCGGACGGATTTTTGATATCTCGAACGGTCTGGCCGTGGCGAGGAAATGAATTTTATGACTAAAAAAGGACACATAAAGTGTGTTATAACTTTGCTCAATTTACCTACAGTTACAAAACTTACCACGTATATTGTTCTCGTCAAGCCGATCAACTTTCCAATTTAAAGTCATTCGCTCTGAGCAACAGAAAGTCAGATATTGTAGTTTGAATGGATTTATTTCCCCTGCGATTCTCTCTCTCTCTCTCTCTCTCTCTCTCTCTCTCTCTCTCTCTCTCTCTCTCTCTCTGTGTGTGGGTGGTGTGTGTGTGGGGAGGGGAGGGCTGTTGTCTGTGTTTATGTGTGTGTGTGCTGGCTGTGATTTTTCCTTCAAGTCCTTGTCTCTAAGTCCTTGTCTTTTTGCATAACAATTTTGCATAACAATATTTTTAGATTGCTTTAAATAAAAGTAAGATTGTATTTGTAATTGAAGTTGAATGAATTTAAAATTCATGTGCTATATTTCATTCAATATATTTGTTTTCCTTAAGATTTTAAAACACTAACTTCATTCTTATCTGAATTACAAATATTTGTTTCTGTATAAAATAATACTCTGACTAAAAACACATTTGATGTTTTTTTTTTGGTATTTTTATTTACATGTATTTATGTGTGTGTGTGTGTGTGTATAAAGGGCAGGGTTTTTTTAGATAAAGTAGAATTTCTATAACTATGTGTTGAACTAATAAATCACTCTTGTGTGTGTTAAACACAATCTACTTAATACAGACAACTTCATTATAAAGATAAATAACAAATCCAAAAAATATGATTATAATCTATGACAAAAAAAGCCATTACAAACTATATTATTGGAAAATACACATTGCTCTTTGTATTGTTGTAAAATATTCATGAAAAACAAGATAACAAAAATCAAAAAGATAAATTATTTTAGATATAGCCATGTTTTAAATGTATAGCAGAGATGTTAATTGAGGCAGCAACATACAAACTTTCTAGAACAACATGGACCTGGATAGCTGGTTTTTATGGAGGACAGTGAAGAGGAAGAGGGTGCAAATCAAACAGCTCATTCTCAGACTACACAGCAAACAGCTTAAGTTTTTAGTGCTTTGTTTGAGGTTTTTAGTGCTCTGTCCTATCTATTATCAACATATAATAGATGGAACAGAACAAGAAAGGCAATTAATAATCTGTCATTGCGTCACTGCATTATGATATGAAAGGCTCAGTACAGTGTGGCACAAAACGCTTATGCGCATCCCGAGTGGAGAATGATGCGCTTAAAGCCACATGGAGTTACAGCGCACAGCGCATCGAGTCCGCATTGATGCAAGCTCTACAATACACTTCTTTTTGATCGTCAAAGCGGGGGTTACGTTTTTACACGTCGTACAGAATAACCCTAAAGGCACCAAGGTGGCGGTGCCACCGGCTTTATATTAAATATAAATATAGCTGTGAGCAGCGATAAAGGGCCAAAGCCGGCGGTACCACCATCCCGGTGCCTTTAGGTAACTAAAGGCATCGGGGTTGCGGTGCCACCGGCTTGGGCCCGCAATCGCTGCTCGCAGCTATATTTGTATTTGTTTTTTTGGCAGGCAGGAAAGCATCACTGTTACAAGGTTACATTATTTATCATTCACTAGCAAAAAATAGATTTGAAGAGAGTCAGAAAACAGAAGCCTTGGAGAGGCTTTTTTGTGCGTCTTCTACTAATATTCTAATCAGCTAAAAGTCCGACTTTGAAACATTTAATGAGTTCTGCGACTGCAGTCCCCAAGGGAGAAATGAAATGACTTGCAGGGAAAGGTTGACATTGCGCTACAAAGAATTCTGGATAACAACAGACTATGAGATGGATCTGCCATGATAAAAAGCTCCTTACGGTAAAGTTTTTAATTTCCTTTATATTTTATGTTTGCTTCTATGGAGAAATTAAGCACTTGGGGACCTCTGGCTGCGTGTGAACTCTTTCCTTGTTAGATTCCTAATTAAATGATGTGTTTGCAGTATCAGCCACTAGGTATCTGATGTTGTTAGAGCTAGGACACTGACTCTAGCACACTTTACATTCACTGGTAGGCTTTTTGTAGCTTGGTCATTTACATTAATAATTAATTTGCATACAGAAAATGCAAAAAGGGAGTCCTTTTTTGAGCAGGGCTACTGTTATTTAAATACTCCAAAGGAACATGGTGTCATTTGATAAATGCATTTATGCATGTCACTAATGAGATCTTGCTTTAATTGGCAACATGTTTTCTGGGTGGAAACAAAAAGAAAGTTTTATAGTAACAACCAGTGATGAAAAATACTCAGACAAATACACAGACAAATTTTATTATTGGAATCACTTTCAGAACAATTTGTTTCTGGATGATGCACATTAAAACACTAGCTGCATTTACATGGTTCAATCAGAATGAAGTCAATCCAATTGATGAATCTGAACATGGTGAATGATAAATAAAATAATCTGGTTGACGTGCGCGTTTATATGCCACAAGATTCAAATCAGAATTGATTTTTTGACACACTGCACGAATATGCCACTGGTCGCGCGTAACTATTCTCCTCTATGAGTTCTTTATTTGTTTTAAACAACAAACTTAATATTTATCCGTCTCTGGTCATGATTTGGAGACGATGAGCTTGAACCGTTTTGCCGTGCTGCTTATATTTATCGCGAAGTAAAACCCCGCGCCCAAAAGTGGATGAACTTCACAGACACTGAGTGAAATGAGAATTTTTTTTAATAACGGAACGCTCATTTATATGACACTTTATTCAACTAGAAGAACAGCTCGTTCTGTGGGTCATACGTCATTATGCTATTTCAACGCCATTGCACATGCACAGTCCTTTTAGTTTCGGTTTTCAATCCGATCAAGTGTTTACATGTTCTCTCGATCTCGATCGGAATACAAAAGGAGACCACCCCTTTCAATCCAATCGAATTTCCAGTCGGATTAAGCTCAATCAGATCGATTTAGGTGTTTACATGAAGGTTTTTTTAGTACGATTGAGCCATCAATCCGATTATAAGGGTTCATGTAAACATAGCTACTGACAGCCAATCAGAATCCATCCTGCTTTAAAGGGATACTCCACTTTTTTTTGGAAATAGGCTCATTTTACAACTATTTGGACTATTTGTTAATAAAGTTAGATTTTTCATTGTTTTTATTTAACAATTACACACATCTGTCAAGCAAAGGCTTTGACAAATATATTTTTTTGTTCAAAAACTGTTCACTATTGTTGTGTGATAACCCTAAATGACAAAAATCAAATTTCCGTTTTTGAAATTCTCTAGTATATTGTACATTTTTCACTCATACTACCTTTATAAACGCATTACATGCATGCTTATGTTAGCTTATGGTCTTCTGAATTCACAGATACCAAACACATAGTGTTCCATCTCCATTACATACAGTATAGTTTATAAGCCCAAATGTAAAAATAGAGAAAATGGACCAAAAAGACCTTAGTCCCCAGAGGGACTAATTCACGACCAACTCACGACCAATTCGTACGAATTCGTACGAGTGATTCAAAAGTGGCAAATTCGTACTAATTCATACGACCTCACTTTTACGAATTTGTACGATTTGTCTAAACCCACGTGACGGTTATGTTCAGGGGCGGGGTCAGGGGTAGGTCATTCGTGCGAATTCATACGAATTGGCTAATTCGTAAAATATCTACGATTTAGCTAAATCGTACGAGTGAGGTCGTACGAATTGTTGCGAATTAGCCACATCGTAAAATTCGTGCGAATTCCCGTGAGATCGGGTTGGAAAAAAATGGTCAGAAACTATGACAGAAACACATTTACTGGATAAATTCCTCGATGCGCATCAAAAAAGTAATGTGACTCCATAACTGGACTAACCAGCGGACCATTCAGAAATGCTGTTTTGGTTGCTCTGAAATGCCTGAGCACAGTCTGTTGTCAATGTGGTTGAGTATAATTGCCTCCCAGAACTGTCTTACACGACTGTGTTCCCAAACGGTAGGCATCCACCTCCGAAAGGAAGATAACTTTATTTTGTTTCGTCTGCGCACACTGAGGCACAAGTAATTTATGATATACAATATTATTGTATACATTAGCTTTTCCTACTGCAGCAACTTCCATTTTTCTTAGTGATATTTAGCACTAGTTTATCAGGAAGTGGCGATTCTCTTCGGCTCACTGGTTGGAAACAGTGCTTTGTAGGCAAAGGTTTTATGCGATATTCCAATTTTGCTCATAAATTAAGTTTGCAACTTTGGATGGAAACATAGCTAATGAAAAATATGTAAAAAAATAAGGTGTATTTTGAACATTCAAGCATGGAAAGCTTTTCTAGTAGACCCTAAAAACAAAATCAATACTTTGTAAAAGGGTATAACAGGTTATCTTTGAAAAGAAAAAAATAGTTTTCTTTCCTTATCTCTTGCAGGATGCTCTTTTTCACTGATTATGGGAATACAGCCAAACTGGAGCGCTGCAATATGGATGGTACAAACAGAACACGACTTGTGGATTACAAGGTTGAGCGGCCGACTGCAGTGGCTTTGGACCTGGTGAAGAAGTTGGTGTACTGGGCAGACGCATATCTGGATTACATTGAGATGGTCGATTACAACGGCAAAAACAGACATACTATCATCCAGGGATATCAAGTGAGTTCTTTTTAAAACATTGTTTGACTTCTGCGATGTATTTTACACCACAGCCCTAAACACATCCATGAGACTTCTATGCTAAGTTTCTAAAGCTCTTCAAGGTGACATTTATTTGAACAAAAGTACAGTAAAAACAGCCTTTATTTGAAATAGAAATCTTTTGTAACATTACAAGTGTCTTTACTGTCACTTTTAATCATTTTAAAGTGTCTTTGCTGAATTAAAGTATTTCTCACCCCGTTTAAAAAAAAATAATAAAATGTGCTGGCCCCAACGGTACGTATATGTGAAATTAAAATTGCAATCGAAAATAAAATTTTTCACAAATGCTGTTTGAATTAATAACGTATAATTTTCTCAGACAGTTGTTCGCAGATTGATTTCAGGTATTAATTGGTTCTTTATACCCAGCAGCTACTGTATCTGTGTGGCTTGATCTGCGTTTTAATTTCTCACGCTAGTTTTAGCATGAATTAGTCTAAATGAACACATGGGCTACAGAAGCAGTTTCACCAGTTGAATATTTTACCTGAAGTGCACTTATGAGGATGGTAATTATGGATCATTATTATTCATAAGTAGACCTCGGCTGAACAACCCAAAGATCTTCTCGCTGTCGGAAAGTGTAGAAGGCCAGAGCAGCTGATTATCATATGCAGGCAGGTGTGGGTGCATTTGGTTTAATGGTGATCTTAAATGTTTGCCATGATGTATTGGAGAAGGGTTGCTAACACATTTCATTTCAATCTCAAATTAAGGTGAGATTTTGCAGGGCCTGGAAAATCTATCTTCTCTTTTTAATGTCATTGATTTTATTTTTTTAAGGGGTTCCTTTTTATGTGATGACAACTTTTTGTTTTTTGTTTTTTTTAGGGGCCCTTCCATTTGAACCCATATTTGTTGTTAAATCATGGTTTGTTCACAGGTTACGCACACTCCACTGCTCTCAACTGTATTCAGTGATATACTGTACATTGTGTTCAACTGCAAAACATTAAACATAAAGTGGCCCCCAAAGTGTTTGGACACTTAAACCACACATTGATTATACACAAATATCAAACATAAAATGTTGTGTAAAATAGTTTTACATTTAAATTAAAATAGGTAGCCTGTTTCACCTCTGAGTTAAACAAATAAATGATTTATTTGTGACTTTTATTATTTTTTGTCAATTGGAATAAGTTTAGAACTTCTTTTGGGGAAGAATTTAATACTTCTCAACAAGGATCTCTATTTCAAATAAATGCCCTTCTTTTGAACTTTTTTGTATTCATTAAATAATTTAATAGTTATTTAAAATTTGATATATATATATATAATAAATGAATAGTCCCAAACTTTTGAATGGTTGACTTTATTTTTTATAGTTGTAACTTTTCTTAATCATAACTCAATCTCAATGTCAAATAGAATGTGACTTATGTTAAAACATGTCTACGTATATATTTCACAATGTCAATTTTCAATAACAATAACTTTTGCTGATAATTTACTCACCCCCATGTCATCCTAGATCTCCATGTCATTCTTTTTCAGTCGAAAAGGTTTTTGATGAAAACATTCCAGCATTTTTCTCCATATAATGGACTTCACTGGGAACCAAACGGTTTCAGGGTCCAAAAGACACTTTTAGTGCAAACTGTTCAAAGGGCTTTAAACAATTCCAGACGATGAATAAGGGTCTTATCAAGCGAAAAGATTGCAAAAGAACATTTAAAAAAATAAATAAATAAATAAAGTTTAAGTTTTATAAGCTCAAATGCTCGTCTTGCTCTGTTCTGTGATGCGTGTTCGTGACTCTCCTCTTCGAACTCGTTCATCAAAGTGAACAAATCTTTTCCAGAGTCAACTCGTTAATTTCGTTCGTTGAATGAACCAAATGACACAAAAAAAGATTTGTTCATTTTGATGAACGAGTTCGAACAGGAGAGTCACGAACGTGCATCACAGAACAGAGCAAGGCAAGCATTTGAGCTTATAAAACTTAAGCTTTGTTATTATTATTTTTTTCTTTTTAATGGCTGATAAGACCCTTATTCATGGTCTAGAATCGTTTAAAGCCCTTTGAACAGTTTGCAGTACTGAAACTGTCTTTTGGACCTTGAACCGTTTGGTTCCCATTGAAGTGCATTATATGGAAAAGAATCCTGGAATGTTTTTTTATCAAAAACCTTAATTTCTTTTCGACTGAAGAAAGAATGACATGGATATCTTGGATGACATGGGGGTGAGTAAATTATCAGCAATTTTTTTATTTATTTTTTTATTTTTATTTTTATTTTTATTTTTTTTTAGGAATATCATTATGAGCCACTCAGCCAAACTATTTTTTCCAGAAGTCTTAGCTTCTGCTGTACAGGATCGTGATGATGAATCATCTCCCTGTAGGTTTAGGTGAAGTACAATGCACATTTTAATGTGCATGTATTTGTGGGCAGAGTTCAGCGGTCCCAGTCTGCTCCTGTCACAGACGTTGCTTGCACTCTAAAAAATGCTGGGTTGTTTTAACCCAACTTTGGGTCAAATATGGACTAACCCAGCCGTTGGGTTAAATTTTTACATTACATTTTTAACCCAACATTTCGGGTTTGTCCATATTTGACCCAAAATTGGGTTAAAACAACCCAGCATTTTTTAGAGTGTGCAGAGGTAGCATGTGGGCTAGAATCACTGCACACAGAATCAGGCCGTCCCCAGAGAAACATGCACTCTGTTTGACCCTGCCTGAACTGCCTGAATGCATATCAACACGATTCACCTTCAGCATATCTGAAAATCTGCACCCTTTTTTCAGTAATAAAGATTGTGGTTGTTGCCAGGTCAAATTAAGTCTAATAACAGCTTTAGCTGGTGGCTAATTGATTGTTGAATCAAAGGGAAATATCAAGGACTGTATCTGTGCTCTTCTGCTTTTTGTTGAGCTTGCAAGGTAATATTTACCTACCAAAGTAACTTCTCAGTGCTCTAATCAACCTGAAACAGTCAATGCTCCTTTTTCTAGGTGGCACACCTGCATGGATTAGCTGTCTTTGAGGACTACTTGTTTGCAACTCGCTCTGAACCCTCCAGTGGAGCGGTGGTGGACATCTTACGGATAAATCGCTTCAATGTCACTGACCCGGAGACGCTAACCAGCATAGGAAATGCAAAAACGATACGGGTTTACCACAAGCTCAGTCAACCGAAAGGTAAAGTATGAGTTATGCTGGGTTCAATTCCTTGCCTTTCGGCATGCTGTTGCTATTCTGCATTAAACACATCACTCCATAGTTTTTAGTTTTTGTTTCTAATTGGGAACGTATAAAATGTAATAAATATTTGTAATTTTTGCAATGTTGAAAACATCTTACAATATTTATAATATTTTTATTTTAGTAAATTATTAACAATGTATGTTTAATACATTCTTCTACTTTGTACATTATATGTAAGATGGTTATGGCTAATTGCTTATGTGACACCCGTGTCCTCTCCTCAGTCAAGGGCCATGCGTGTGAAGTTGACCCTTATGGTAAGCCAGGAGGATGCTCACACATCTGCCTTCTCAGCGGGAGCTACAAATCCCGGAGCTGCCGCTGTCGTACCGGATTTAGCCTGGGAAGTGATGGGCAGTCCTGCAAAAGTCAGTCCGCTATATCTTACAGCCTTTCCTTTGTTCATTGTTGCTGTTCTAAAGTGTTTGTTTTTTTTCTGAAATAATAAGATGATTAATAAAAATTAGGGCTGTCAGTTGGACGTTTAAGCCTGATATATAACATAATTGTATGAAACATTTTTTTTTTCTTTAGACTAAATTAAAAAAAAAAAAAGATTTATTATATAAAGGTTTTTGAAGGTCTGTAGTTTTTAATTGTGGGTTGCAAAACATATAATACATTGATTATTGAGAGGTTTACAAATGTTCATTAAATCCCAATGTATCATATTTGATACTCACGTTTTAACATGATTTGGTAACACTTTACTTAAAGTCTTGTTCATAAGACTGACATGGCACCTTCATAACCATGAAATGACATATGTCTTGAATATGAAGTAGGGTTTATGCATGTTTGTGACAACTGTCATTAAGTGTCTTTCACTCAGTTATGACATTTTGAATGCAAATATGACATTGTTTAAGATGTCTTTGTCATGACAACTTGACGTAAAATTAAGTTAAACTGTCATGTCTGTGACATTGACCGTCATGAGGCCATTATAACTGTGTCATGAATATTTTTTGTGACCTCAACTACAGTGGTACTAATTGAATTTGTCATTAAAGAATTATAATGGCTTCATGGCAGCCAATGTCAAAACCAACCACCTGACAGTTTAATGTAATGTTAAACAATAAAGCTAGGTGGTTTCTTAAGTTTGATAACTAATCTGCTATGTTATGTTTATGACAGGTTGTGTTGTCTTAGTAATGTCAAGTTGTCATGACAAAGACACTAGGCGCGTTTCCATTACAGATTTGCGCAAAACTTTTGCGATATTTTCTAAATGTCGATAAAAAATGATTGTGAATTGACGGCATTTCCATTAACCGATGTTATGCGACTAAAACGTATTTTTTCCTCCCGCGATTAGTCATTCCAAAAATCATGGCAACGGACGTTGGTAGGTTTATCACAGCCACCGCACTCGACATTATTATTATTACTGGAAGGAGACGTGGTGTGTTATCCAGGGAAAGACACAGAGTTCCTGGGTGTTTCTCCCTTATTTCTGCTTCGAGTTCTTGATTGTGGCATTTCTTTTTGAGGTTTAGATTCCAGTAGGCTTTTTCTGTAATTATTGTTTCTTTTTTTAAAATGAATTCATAGAAGAACTCATATTATGTCCAAACAGTCATTGTACTTGCATTCGTTTTCCCTTTTTAACCCGTAATTGCAAAACGAAAAATGGAATGGTTGTTGTATTTTTGAATTGTTGAATTGCTTTGTTTCCTTTTTTTTGTTCTACATATGTAGGCCAATAAATGGTATAATAGGCTAATGATAATAATTATTATTATTATTATTATTTGCGGACACGGAGCCAAAACACACTGCGTCTTCTAAGTCAGGTGCTGTAAATGTGCAAAACCGGTTTCCATTGCAGTTTTGCGCAAAAACCCTTTTTCAAATTGCCTGAAAAACCTCTTCATGCGAGCGTAAAAACTTGTTTTGCGATAAACGGGATTTTTTTGCGAAACTGACGTGTTTCCATTGAGTGCATTTTCATTTTGCAATTTCAATTTGCGCAAATTGAAGGGTAATGGAAACGTGGCTACTGACAGGTTATAATGTATTTTGTTTATGTCAAGGTGTCATAACAAAGTCATCTTAAACAATGTAATATTTGCACTAAAAATGTCATAACTGAGCGAATGAGACTTAATGACAGTTGTCACAAACATGCATAAAACTTCCTTCATATTCATAACATAAGTCATATCATGTTTATGAAGGTGTCATGTTAGTCTTATGCACACCCCTTCAAGTAAAGTACCCATGATTTTTTTTCTAAACATTATTTATGGATAATCAAGAAAACCTGTGGTTCATCTTGAGTGTTCATCTTAAAATATTACCAACAATATACAATTTATTCTTACATTTGCTTATAAAAATCACTACAGATTTCACAGCAAAAAACACATTTTTCTATTCATACTAAAAGGCATTTAAACAACAAATTTTTCAGCAAAGGTTTGATCATGTTGATAATGTAGAAGCCTTAGAAATTTGTGTATCAAATATGATAAAGTGGGATTTATAGGTTATTGAATAAACATATAGTGCAATTATAATTATAAATTCTGAAACTCATTATCATGTAATTACTATTGACAGCCCATCTAAAATATATATTTGTTCTTTGCCAACAAATTAAAAGAAAAAGTACTCATTGATTTTATGACACCTAATGTCACGTCATCCCAGTGGAATTGGTGATGGAATATCTGTTTGTTTTATTTGATTCTTGTCAGCTGGAAATTGAAATGTGTGTTGTTACACTATTAAGCAGGAAGATTGAGTGGTTCTTCCTTTGCGCCAGTCTTGGCACTGACTTGGATTGACAGAGATGGAGATGGAGATGAACTTTTAAGAAAATTGGCCCACATGGTTGTGATGGTATTTTATTGACTGCCTATAGAATGATTCATTACCGCCATTACTGCCATATCCACTCGGTTCCCCCATACGCAGATCCTCCTGAACAATGGACGTTTTACTTAGTTGACAATGAAAGCTATGAGTCAATTAATGATGGTCCCGAGTTAAGCATAAATCGACTGCAATAATGAACCAAGCTTTGCGTTTTGAGACGTTTCGGATTTATACCTGCACCCAGATGTTGTTCTACTTCCTCCCTATTTCCATCAGATGAGAAGCTATGCTAAATGACTGTGGCTCCCTGTGGTGTTTGATATATAGGTCTCAAAGCGCTTAATTGTCTTTAAGGTAGTGGAGCTCTTCCACTCGGAATGATAAATTAAAGTGATAATTTACTTATGTCATCTCACCCACACTGGTTTGGTCCATCGAGGATGAGGTGGATGTCCCTCTCTTTACCCAGAATCCTCTTCCTTTCCCATCGGCCTAACTCGTTACAGACAGAGTGGGCTGCCCTTTGTCTTATGCCCGCTGTGACTAGAGGTTAATTTATTTAAGCTTGTTACAAGACCATGGATAACCTCAGCTTCTGTCATGCGCCTTTGTGAATCTAACAACAGGAGATTTATTGTTCAAACAGAGTCCCAATGAACAAAAATAACAATGCTGGAGCTTGTCAAATGAATCCTCTCAATCAAGATAATTTTTGCCTAGGGATGTTAAGTGGGGCTGATTGCTCCATTCATTTCTGTAACTGAACGCGTCTGCCTGTGATAGTTTTGGGATTTGTACAGTAGATCTTCACACAACTGATGTTTTAGCTGGGCTCAAACTTTACAATTATACGCTACCGGTCTCATGTTTGGAATAATTACGATTTTGAATGTTTTCTCTTTTCAAATGTTTCTCTTCTTGAAAATCCCGTAAAAAAACACAATATTGTGAAACATGATTACAATTTCTATTTTATAATGTACTTTATTCCTGTGATATTATAGCTGAATTTTCAGCAGCCATTAATCGAGTCTTCAGACACTGAAAGCAAATTTTTACAGTAAAATACTGTTAAATGCAGTTTTAAGAAGTAAAAAAAAAGGCTAATCAAATTATAATTAACTGTGAAAACTGTAAAATTACCATCATTCCATAAATTACAACTGTATAGTTGCTCTGTAAATATATTTATTTTTTTACTGTATTTTTTACAGGATTATTCTGGCAAACACAGCTGTTTTTTTTTTCTTTCTGTAAAAACAACAGGATTTTTTAGTGTAAATGCTGTTCTTTTGAGTATCATAGTTTCCAAAACATTTTCAACAGTAAAAACGGCTTTCAACATTGATAATAATAAGAACCATTATTAATATTTTAGAGTTTTGAGTACCAAAAACAATTTGTAAATAACTGAGCAAATCATCATATATATATATATATATAAATGATATATATATATATATATATATTATTTATTATTTATTTATTTTTTTACAGTGTAAAGGATCATGTGACAAAAAACATTTAAAAAAAAATCTGAAATACTTCATCTTTAAACCGGTAGTGTACTGTATATGACATAAAAGGACTTTGGGTTACACTTTCTGTCTGTGTCTTTGCAGAACCCAAAAATGACCTTTTCCTCTTCTATGGAAAGGGACGACCTGGGATAATTCGTGGTCTGGACATGAACGTGAAGTCGAGCAACGAGCACATTGTTCCCATCGAGGACTTAGTGAATCCAAGAGCTTTAGACTATCATGCTGAGACTGGAAACATTTTTTTTGCTGATACTACAAGTTTTTTGATAGGACGGCAGAAAGTTGATGGGAGCGGCCGGGAAACAATTCTCAAAGATGGTAATTATTGCAATCATTTTGCACTTTTTACCTTTTTGATCCTGTTTACACCTGTAATTACTTGAATTGAAATCATTTAATGAACATAATTGTGTGTGCTTTTACAGATCTTGATAATGTGGAGGGTATTTCAGTGGATTGGATTGGGAATAACCTGTACTGGACCAACGATGGATACAGAAAAACCATCAGCGTGGCCAGACTAGAACAGGCATCTGGAACCAGGAAGACTCTTTTGGAGGGAGACATGTCTCACCCTAGAGCCATAGTGGTGGATCCTCTCAATAGGTACAAAGCCGTAACACTCGATCATAGACCTAAATATGGATTGTGTATCATACAGTGATTTGAAATGTTTATCAACATTTATACACAATGCCTTATGATTTGGACAGAAACATTTGTTAAGTGGCCGTTTATGTTGTAATCTTTCATTTTATGTAACTAGCAAAGAAAGTAAGGAAATTAAAACAAGGACACATTAAATTGAGCATAAGTGACAGTTAATAAGACAGTAAATCAGAAGGGGAAGAGACGATAAACCGAGGTCCTGACTCTGTGGTCGTTAAAACTCCCAATTTGCCCCTTGGCCTCTGTCTATCATGGCCTCCTAATCATCTGCATATACTGATTGGCTTCATGTTCTGGCACAATATGGCTGCCGTCACATCATCTAGGTGGATGCTGCACATTGGTGATGGTTGAGGAGATTTCGCCTTCTATGTAATGAGTGCAGAGAAATATATAACAAATTTGTATTAATTATTATACTTTAAAATATTTTAAATTATTATATTTTAAATACTTATGTTCTTTTGACATCTCTATCCATCAAAGAATCCTGAAAATAAATAAATAAATAAAAAAATAAAAATAAAAAATCAAAGCAGCACAACTGTTTTAATATTGATGAACAAATTAAATAATTAATTAAATAATTGAGTAATAGCTGCTGAAAATTCAGCTTTGCCACCAGAGGAATAAAGTGTATTTTAAAATATATTAAAAAAAGAAAAGGGTTATTTTAAATTGTAATAATATTTCACAATATTACTGTATTTATGATCTAATTAACGCAACCCTGAGCATATAAGATTTTCCAAAAACGTATAACATCTTACTGACCCCTAATTTTGAATAGTTTACAATTAAAACACTGAATATTAGAACACTGAAAGGCACTAAGAACTAAAGCTTAAGTAAAAAAAAAAATAATGAAATTTCAAATTCCAGCCAATTAATAACCAATAATACGAAATTGACTAAACCGATATTGTGCCAAAATATCAGGCTAAGCTCATTCTTTGTTTTGTGGGTATGATCATACAGTATACATTGTAGTAACTGAAAAATCTGGTTTAGGAAATATGAAATATGCTTGGGAATTATTAAAAACAAGAGTAATATTTCCCTAGTTAAAAAAAAAAAAAAAACACGACCCCTAATGCAAAATGTATTTAAAATACATATGTCATACGAAGTATACAAATCAATTTAAATATTTAACTAACATTCGCTTGAGACTTACTGATATAAATATAATAGTTAAACTTCATGTGGAGTACTTAAACCTAAAATGTGTTTTAATATTAGTAAGGATAGTATGATCTCTGTATAATATCAGTTTTTAAATGCAATAATTCCACTTTAGCACAATCAAATATATGTATATCTTTAGCTGGAGCATACAACATTAGTGGTTCCAATTTTGCAGAATTTAAGTATCAATTATGTATACCAAAAGTGCAATTGCATGGGTATTTATATTAAAAAATATATGTAAATGTATATAGTTTAAAATAAATGTATTTCAAATACATTTTAGTATATTTATTTTCCACCAGGGTCCTTTAAATCAACATTAGCAATCTTACTTCCCACCTGCCCCGAAGGAACAGTCCTCCTTCCAGTTTATTTACTAACATTTGTTTACACTGCATGGCTTCAGAGGCGAATGCAATTGTACATAGTGTAGTGAAGCATGCATGCGACCATCCACGCGCTCCTCCATTTGTACTGGTTTGTGTGTGTGTGTGTGTGCATACATTTGTACCAGTAAGCTGACATGGCATGGTCAGTAAAAATGGTGAGTATGATGGCCCAGAGCCAATCTCATTATCACCTTCCCGGGGTGTGAGAGTAACTCATGAATCCTGAGGAGGTGCAGCCAGCCAAAGCTGAAGAAGCGAGATACTGCAATGAGGAAACAACCTCTCTCGGCCCTCTCAGATTCAATCACGCAACCTGATCACTCTCTTTTTATCGGATTAAAAAGTACTTAAGTGTACTAGAATACTGATTGGTCAGTGGTCATCAGATCTGTTGGGCCTAACCACGTGGTAGCCTATTGAAGAGTACTTTTAATGTATTTATTTTTTAAATCTCTGCAAATAATTGTCTTATTTAAAAGTGCACTTATCATGAAGTAATACATGATGGAATAAATTTTTGCCATCTTTAGTGAACCCAAGGGGTGTTGATTACGGATTCATTTGAAGAGAGGGAAAACAAATGCAGAATAGTTTCATTATTTAGAGACACAATGGGTTCATTAGCTCAGAGCCATAATTATATTCATTGCTCAGACCTCACGCTTGTGCAATTTATGCAACTCTCGCATTTAATGAAGCAAATGTATCTTGAATGGCAGTGCTAACAATAAAAAAAAAAGAAATGGGCAATGACAGGAAGCTAGAAACTGTTCCTTTGTGAGTTTGTCAACAGATACTCACGAATAGTGCACGTTTAAGTAGCATGTAAAAACAGCAACTTATCTCCTAGTCGCCACTGCGTGTCATTCCCGACGGGATAACTTCAGTGGTGTGGAAGCGATTAAAATCTGCATTAAAAGCATCATCTTTCTGAACTGTCAGCTCAGAGGATGTCACACAGACTGCATGACTGCATTGAGAGTGGAAAGCTAAAGCTTTCTGGAGCTGGGGCTCAGACAGGAAATGAGAAGTGTGCCTCTTCTAAGGTGCCATTGATGTGTCCTGTTTTGACAGGCAGTAAAAAAAAATAGCATGGTGGATGATGGAAATTTAGAGATGTAAATTGTTGACCTCTCCAACAGGTCATCAGAGGATAGATCACATGGACTTTGAACGCTGGCCAACAAAGAATGATTTATGTACAGTACAGTACATCATACTTCAAAGCAAATGTATGTTTTTTTTTTTTTTTTTTTTTTTTTTTTTTTTGGTGTGGTGACTTAAAGGAGTAGTTCACTTTAAAAAAAAACAAAGAAAAAAAAAAAACTTTTTGCTGATAATTTACTCACCCCCATGTCATTCGAAGATATCCTTGTCATTCTTTCTTCAGTCGAAAAGAAATTAAGGTTTTTGATGAAAACATTCCAGCATTTTTCTCTATATAATGGACTTCATAGGGAACCAAACGGTTCAAGGTCCAAAAGACAGTTTCAGTGCAAAGGGCTTTAAACGATTCCAGACGATGAATAGGGGTCTTATCAAGCGCAACGATCGCTCATTAAAAAAAATAAAAAATAAATAAAAATGTGACTCTCCTGTTCGAACTCGTTTATCAAAATCAACAAATCGTTTCCCCAGTCAATTTGTTCATTTTGTTCATTGAATGAACCAAATGACACGGAAAAAGATTTGTTAATTTTGATAAACGAGTTCGAACAGGAGAGTCACGAACGCACATCATAGAGCAGAGCAAGGTGAGCTTAAAACTTAAACTTTTTTTTTTTTTAATGAGCGATCGTTTCGCTTGATAAGACCCTTATTCATCGTCTGGAATCGTTTAAAGCTATTTACTTATTAGCATGAATATTAGGACGTTGGTTGTTTATTAGTACTTATAAAGCGCATATTGATACCTTATTCTGCATGATTCTACATCCCTAATCCCACTCAATGCCTAAACTATACTAACAATACCCTACTAACTATTAATAAGCCGTAATTATGAGGTAATAAGGCAAAAGTCAAAGTTAAAAGTTGGGTAATAGTAATAATTGGACCCTAAACTAAAGTGTGACCAAAGTGTGTCTTTAATTATGAATCAAAACTTTCTTTTTAACCCATTTATTTTTTATTAGTACATTTTTTGACTGTGTTGTTTTGACCCACCTGTATGGGCTTATTTATAGTAATGGGGTTAGGGCCCACCATTAGGGGTTGGCAATCTATCAGGTGAGCAGGTGGCATGTTGATCTTTTTCTGCACTGCTGGATGGGCTTCCCCCTGAAATAACACCCACCTGTCCTGATTTCTTTATCTCTCACACCCATATAGTATACTTCTCTTTGTTGATGTCACTACACAAGCAGCCTGTGATAACATGATAAGAACGAAATTGCCCACCTCAGTAACTCTTTTCTGTCTTTTTGTATCTCAGGTTCTGTCATTTGGACTTTCACGATTTACATCTCTGTCTCTCCATTTTTTATTTGTATTTATTTATTTATTTATTTATTTATTTATTTATTTATTTATTTATTTATTTATTTATTTATTTATTTTATTTTTATTTTTTTTTTATCTGCTCACTTCATTGCTGTCCTATATTCCCAGGAGCAGACTTTCTAAACTGTGGTATTTTTAGCGGGTCAAAACTGATTTGGCAAACTCCTACCAGTTCATAGTACCACAGTTTAATGGAGTTCTTATAGTTCTAGCTTGATGCTCCAGTTTAAAGGATTAATGAAGCCTTCGGTGTCTGATCTATTTCTCTGTCTCTTGCTCTCGCACTTTTCTCACCTATATATATATATATATATATATAGACACACACTCTAAAAATGCTGGACAAACTCAAATGTTGGGTTAAAAATGTTTTGTAAAAGATTTAAAAAAAAATGTAATTACAAATTTTAAATTAAATGTTTAACCCAACATTTGGGTTTGTGCATATTTTACCCAATTTTGGGTTATATAACAATCCTGGGGTGCATTTCCTAAATGCATCGTTAGCCAATTACGGTCGCAAGTTCCGTCGTTATCAGCATATTTCAACGAGTCGGTGTTTCCTGAAACAATCGTTCCAACGAACATTCGCAAACAGCATTGCAAAGTTTTGTGGTTTGAACGACAGATCTCGACCTGTGGTTTGAGGCATCGTTTCTATATTGCATGACATTTGGAGGTAATAAATCCTTATCTTGAGCAAAATAAGCAAGCTGGCATTCAGTGCAACGGTGCCTATTATTTAGAATACATACAAATGCAATTTAGGTATTTTAGTTTGTGAAAAGATTTAAAGTACCGATTTTGAAGAGTCCGCATGTGCGAACGTGCTGTACTATGTAAGAACGGGCCAAATATTCAGTCTGGTAATAAAGAAAAATAACTGAGAACAATTAGAAATAGTCCTCAGATGACATGTCTGTAATTTATATTAACAAAATAGCGTTAATTGGATCTCAAACAGTTTCATTAAAAGTAGTTATTATTCCACCACGTGTGAAAACAACGTGGTGAACGATACTTTGCAACCATGGGTTTCAGGAAACAGTCGTGACTAGCTAGTACTATTAGATATCTTACTATTTTAGTGAATCAGCTAATTACATAGTTGTACGGGAAACGTACCACAGAATTGTTTAGAGTGTGTATGTATGGTTTTATTATTTATTCATTTATTTTTTGCCTTTCTTCCTTTCTTCCTATCCTGGTGTTATGCCTGTTGCTATTCTATCTCTGTATTATTTATGGACAGCAAAGTGGCAGTAAAGATTTTCACATTGTTTCTCTCTCTCTCTCTCTCTCTTGCTTTTTTGTACTCTACTCGTTGAAAAAAAAATGCTTTTTTGTTCTCTACTCGTTGAAAATGCCATGTAATCTTTGCTCATTTCGGTTAGACCCTGCATGTGCATGTGGTTACATTCAGAACAGTGCAGGATGAGACTCGGAGCATGCTGTTTGCCTTCTGAATAATTCATGGGGTCACGTAGCCAACATACTGGGACAGAGAGCGCTTGATTCGCCCTGTATCCAATTCTGTTTTATGTGGTGCACATGAAGCAAGACTTCTATCATTGATGAGACAGAAAAGCTTGCGTTGACCGCTGAGTAGTCCTCAGAGGCAGCAAATCCCTTAAGCACACTTACTAGGGAAAGGATCATGTCGAAACGTTGACCCGATCACTTTTCAAATATCTCTAACCCATTGAGTAACAGTTCATGTTGGCACAGGACCTTTTAGTATATCCACAACTAAGAAAAGGAAATTGCGAATGAGAGGACCAACCAGAGGAATTGATATGGACGGTGGCCTTGTTTTCTAGACCCAATTTGAGCCACTCACAATGTTTGTCCATGGTTTCAATCTATCTATTTGGTTAACAGTTTTATCTCCAGATCAATATAATTTCCCTTAGGTTTGAGATGCTGACTTTTCCTTAGCATTTTTTGTTTATGTTCAGTGTACATTTTTTTTTTTTTTTTTTTTTTTTTTTTTGACTCTGAGGCAATTTGTTTCAATCTGCTTCAGCTGTGCAATTCCTGTCTTAGCAAATAAGTTGTGTGATTGATGTCCATGTCTGCTTCAAATGCAAAAACAAGAGCTTTTTTTTCATGGACTACACTGACTGTGTTTGGTTTTGGTTGCAGTTGGATGTACTGGACGGATTGGGAAGAGGATGAGGTGAACGACAGCATCGGGCGAATAGAGAAAGCCTGGATGGATGGGTCCAACAGGAAAATATTTGTCACATCTAACATGCTGTGGCCCAATGGACTCACTTTGGACCATGGATCCAGTACCATGTACTGGTGTGATGCCTATTACGATCACATTGAGAGAATCTACCTTAATGGCACTGGGAGAATGGTGAGTGAAATTAAAGCTTTGGAATCTCTTGAGTTTCTTAGTTATTTTCTCCAGACTTTTCAGATGTTTCTCGTAAAATGTCTTGCAATTTAAATATTAAATGTGATAATTGTTAACCAACTAACCAAGAGGTTCAGCATTTAGCTTAGGTTCCCTCATAATTTAATTGAAAATACTTTCATAAAACATAATTTATGTGAATTTATGTACATTTATTTAAAAAAGCCTTTATTTAGTCATGGCTTTGGCAATTAAAACCTCAATTCGTATGTTTTCCAATAAGTACTACAACTTTAATTTTATCATTTGCAAATGAGGACTACACCCATTAATTAATCAAGCACGTAAACACATTTTTTAAAGCACACAGATCAAAATCTACATTTGAGGACTGATTGTGCATAGTTTATGTTTCTGCACCGAATGGAAAAGTCTCTTTAAATAATCTTGACCACGGACTTTATTTTTTTCTTAGATCAAAAACCACTTTATAAAAACCCATTAGAAATTCCTGAGGGGACACATGGCAAATTAGACTTCTGGATAGGCCCTCGAATTGATGTAATGATTGAAGAGCTTGAAATTTTGACAGAATAAACAAGCTATACAATGTATGATGAATGCATAGCTTGGATTAATTTGGTCTTGAATTAATGTAATGGGAAATGAGACTGAAATTTGAAATTTTCTTCTTTAATGATGATTTTTATCAAACTTGTATATTTAAGTTCAGTAATTTCACTTAAATTGCAATGATAATTACCTATTAATTGTTATTTAAGTGAAATTACTGAACTTTAATATATAAGTTTGATAAAAATCATCATTAAAGATGAAAATTTCAAATGGCATTTAGAGGCTTTTGCATCTGAACTCTTCATATTTTCTGTGTTTTTTTGTTTTGTTTTGTTTTTTCACTGTAGGTTGTGTACAGTGGCAGGGAACTCAATCACCCGTTTGGGATTGCACAGTACCAAAATTCCATCTTCTGGACTGAGTACATGAACGCTTCAATCTTCCAGCTGGATCTGGTCTCTGGTGAAGTCACTCTGCTGAGAAGTGAAAGACCCCCCCTTTTTGGGCTCCGAGTATTTGATGCACAAAGCCAGCTGGGTAAAGTCACTTTTAAGTCTAAAAGAAAAGTTAAAGATTACAGAATGACACATTTTTGATCTTCTTTTAAATAATGTTTTAATGAATAATGGTCGGGATTTCTCTTTTTCCTTTTTAATCCATACAGGTAAGTTGGAATTTAAATTGAATGGGCCACAACACAAAGGAATTTGATTTACAGTGACAGGAAGATGAATTCACTGGATTGAAATTCAAGAAATTCATCTAATTTTGTCTCTATCTTGAAAGCCTGATTCATGATGGTTCCATTTTGGAGTATATGAAAGCATTCTGGGAAATTAATTGTTTTTTCCACTATGACAAAAAATAAAGTTAATGTATTAATGAACAATACTGTTAAAAAGTTTGGGCTCAGTAAGATTTTTTTTATAAATTATTGAGGAAGGATGCATTCAACTGATTAAATGTTACAGGAAAGATAATTAAAATGTTGCTAAGATTTATATTTCAAAGAAATGCCATTCTTTTTAATTTCCAATTCATTAAAGAATCTTGAAAACAATCTATCATGGTTTCCAAAAAAGTAGTAAGGAGGACATTAGGGGTGGGCGATATGACCAAAAACTTATATCAGTAAATTAGTAGTGTTATTTTATTTCACAATAACGATATACATCATATAGTTATAGTTTGCTTTAAAGGGGTCATGAATGGAGAGTTCAAATGTCCATCGATCTTTTGATAGTTAAGAGTTCATTATATTATAAACATACCCTGTAAGTTTCAAAACTCAAAACGTCCTTGTTTTTCCAAAAATGTTTTTGTTTTAAAATGCTTTTATTGAAACCAAGGCCAGAAAATGACAGGATCTAAAAAGTGGAGACTTGTGTCATCACAGGGCAGCCAAAGACCATCTTTTAGAATTGGTCTTCTCGGTACATTTTACTGTTATTTGGTAATTCAGTCGCAATTTCGACTCAGGCAGATATTTAGGATATTGATCTGCCAGCAATGCCACAAATATATAAGTAACCATTTTTATACTAATGCCTGATCTGTGTTCAGTGATATTATAAGGGCACCCCCAGGAAACATAAAGTAATAAAATAAACCTCTTAACGACCCATTTAAATAAGGTTTTTATGATGTCAACATTTTGATTCCATCGAAATTGTCATAATTATCATCAACAATTTCATTATCCCAAAAAAACGAACGAAAGCCTAATTAGCACAATACAAAAATCAAGCTTACTTATTCCACTTCAGTGGTTAAACACTTTAAAACAACAATGCTTATAATGCATGCAAATGGGAAGCTTTTGTGACTGTGAGTGTCATATGTGTGTGTTTTATCAAATAAATTAAGCCTTGGTGATGATAAAAGACTACTTTTAAGAATAATAAAAAATCTTACCGACCCCAAACGTTCTGGATGAATATTGTAATAATTTGACTACACAAAAGAGTCTGGTGGAAAATAAAAGCAAATATTACATAGGCTAGTGCATTCATTCAGAAAATTCGTAATAAATTCCTTATTTTTTTTTTTTTTACACACAGCACAGCTATTGCAGATTTCCATGGCTTTAGCTTTGATTAGCATAGTCCCAACTACAGAGCGGGAGCCGTACTGTTGAGTGGGTGTGTTTAATCTGGTGAAGTGGGGGCTAAAGCTCTGTTTAGCATGTTTAACTCTGTGTGGATGTCTGAGGTAAGGTGGGATGATTACTGTGTCATCCTCTCTCGTATGTGCCTGTCACAACAGGTAGAGGGAGGGACACTTCTCAGCGGGGCTCTCGCTCACGCAGACGAGCAGCACAGAGAACACAGGAGTGTGTTCAGCTCCCACATGTTTCATCTCTTACTTACCTGAGGGTGGTGCGTTTTCAGGAGAGCAGGCAGTGTGCCGCATGTCAGAGAGAATCACTCTTTTGAGAAAGACGGCGAATTCAGCTGGGACCAGCAGACTTATATCATGTTTTAAATATATTCTCATCTTTACATCCAATTCTCAAAACACTGAGATCTGTGATGGGTGATGGTGGGGGAGGGTCATGTATGTCAGGTATGCATTTATACCTCCAAAAAATATGGGGGTTTTGACAGTCTACATTCGGAGCAGAAGACAAATTTCTCCAAAGCGCTTGTCAGGAAAAAGATTAATTGTGTTTCCGCTCTTTGGAATACCACAGATTGGCCATTACAAAGCGGTTTTTATCTCATTGGTTCAGGCAATGCCTTTCGACCACTCTCTAAATGAAACCTTATTATTGTCCCCATGCCTCAACTTAATAAGTGACAGTTTTCTCACAAAACTGTGTTTTTCTCCACTCCCCACCCTTCGCAGGTGCCATTGCCCACACAACGAATTATGTCAGTGAAAGGAAAAGAATGTCAAATGGCTCTCTTCTCCCATAATTTACTTGACATGTGATTAAAAATAATGCCCCCGTGTTCCACCGGCATCCCAGAAGAGCAGGAAATTGGTTCTGAGTGGGCAGTGAGGAAGAACTTTATGTTCTCTGTTTCAAGGAGAGACATTGCTAAAAGCCATAAAGGGATGAACACATAAACAGCTGTCCTGCGAGTGGAAAAGAAGATTTGTAGATATCTGTTGTTTAGTCCTATGTTTGTTTTTTAGGTGACAATGCCTGCCGGGTGAATTATGGTGGTTGTGGTACCCTCTGCTTGGCCGTTCCAGGAGGCCGAGTGTGCGCATGTGCTGACAACCAGCATCTGGACAAGAACAATGTCACGTGCTCTGGTAAGCTTTCAAATAAGAGTTTTAACTCCTGGAATATGCAGTGTTTGACAATTTCCTTGTTTTTCCCCTTGAATTCTGTTTTCCTATTGTCTTGTTTTGTTTGTTTGTTTGTTTGTTTTTTCTCCCGAAGACTCTGCAGGTCAAGAGGAGCCGCAGCGGTGCAGAAATGATGAGTTTCAATGCAGGAACTGGCGCTGCATTCAAGCCAATTGGATTTGTGATGGAGATGATGACTGCTTAGATGGCAGTGATGAGGAGGCCCAAATATGCTGTATGTATACTTTGTCTTCTTCCTCCCTGACTGGGACGTATTATCCCTGTTGTACCTGTTTTACTGAACCATCAAACCTATGTGGCCTCAAGCTGTGTCATTTAGTATGCACACTGTGTCATGTCTGTGATGTATCAGTCAATACAGACATTTTCATTTTGTACAGGTATCACTGGTGCCATCCAGTTTATACCGACCTAGTAACAAGATGAACACTGCAACAATGTTCATTTATCTTATTTATTTTATTATATATATATATATATATATATATATATATATATATATATATATATATAATAAAATAAATAAGATAAATAATATATATATATATATATATATATATATATATATATATATATATATATATATATATATATATATATATATATATATATATACATCTTATAATATCTATATATATTTTATATATATATTTTATTTATATATATATATATATATATATATATATATATATATATATATATATTTTATATATTTTTTTTATGTATCTTATACTTACCAAGGCTGCATTTATTTGATCAAATACATTTATATTGTGAAATATTATTATAATTTAAAACAGCTATTTTCTATTTTAAAACACATTTTATTCCTTGATTTCTTATAATCATTATATATGTTGATTTAGTCTCATTATCAATGTTGAAAACAGTTGTAATGCTTAATATTGTTTTGTGTAAACCATTAAACTTTTTTTTTTCATATTTGATGAATAGAAAGTTCAAAAGAACAGTTCATTTGAAATATCACTGAACCTAAAAATGTGAATTGTAGTTTGTGTGTGTGGGTGTGTGTGTGAGTGTGTAAATACATTTCCAAGTATTTTTTTCTAAAATCCCAACCTAGAAGTTGTCATTGTTTTGTAAAGAGAGAATCCACAAGTTGATACAAAATCATAAAAAGTAGCACAGGTTTAATATATCCAGTGGTCAAATATACAATTTAGCGGACATTATGCAAACATTTTTAAATCCACAATGCCCTAAATTGGCCAGTAAAAATCAATAATTCCAGAGAGCTATAATTAAATGATATTATGCCGATAAAAAATATACTCTAGCTTGAAATGCATTGGATAACAGCATCTGCATACAGTTAATGTGCACTAAGCAGGCTGTTTACATATCATTTGTTGCTAATTGACATGTTAGAAAAAAAAAAGCAATGCAATATCAACACCATATCAAACCTTTCTCCCACTCACTGCATCCCACTGCACAATCTGCTCATGAGCTAATCGATAAGATAAGCACCCTGTTAAAACGTTGGGGACTGAGTCATTTTTCACTTTGAGAAATACTTTAACGTGATGTTCTGCCAGAATTATCAGAATTGCAAAATCAATGTTCTGCTCTGCTGGGATGTCCTATAGTTTAATACGCCTGAAACGTTATTGCCTGATCCCACTTGAATCCGGTTTTCCATTTCATCTGTTACTCATTGTCTGGTGGGTACGCGTTGAGTATCCAGGGTTGTGAGTAATGGTAGGTTCTATTATTAAATAGAGCAAACAGTCGAGGAAAACACTAGCAGTACTTTAAATAAACTCAAACGCCTGAGGGCAAATGCATATTTTTTGAGATAAATGTGAAGCTAGCTCAGGAGAATAGATGAATAGCACAATGAAAAGTGCTGTGTCAAAACAAAAGAAGAGTATTATGCATATGAACTCTCTTATTTGTAGAGTGGGCTGTCAGCAGTGTAACAAAACATGTCAACACCCCCTAAAACACACACACACACAAACACACATATATGTCAAGCTTGGAAAGTGTTGATGTTCTTAGATAAAATATGTACTTTTTTGGCATGTGATTTATTTTTGTGCTTCCATTGTTCTTTTCAGCTAACCACAGTTGCCCGATTGACCAGTTCAAATGTCCCAATAACCGCTGCATACCTAAGAGGTGGCTTTGTGATGGAACCAATGACTGTGGAGATAATGACGATGAGTCTAATAAAACATGCTCAGGTAGATATCTACTTCTTCATACATAACATATTCACCCACCAACATCTGCAAGGTTTCCACAAAGGAATTAATAAGCAGTAATTATGAGTTTATCGAGGCAAAAGTCGTAGTTAATAGTGAAAATTGGACCCTAATCTAAAGTGTCGCCAACATACAGTATATATATATATATATATAATATATATATATATATATATATATATATATATATATATAATACACGTGATATTAAGATGAAGTTTGTTTTTAGATTCTACAGGTATTTAGGGTGACCCTGAAATGAGAAATAATATTAAAATAATTCATAGAGCACAGTACATTTAAAGGGACACTATGCAGTTTTTTTTCTTGTTTTTTTTTTTTGTTTTTTTTGCTCATTGTCGTTGCTTTCAGTGGCGCGGATACAGTGTTCTGTTGTGGCTTGTGCACAGTCTTCTCTCGGATGCACGGTTCAATCCGTTGTGACTTAAAATCACAAACCATAATGCGCACAAATGTGTCCCTGCTTGATATACAACCACTGAAAGAAATCGGTCTACATTTGACGCACAGGGCACCCTTTAGCGTCAATATGAAACGCAGATATATATAGGCCAGAAGGCGCCTCCTAGGGGTCTAACCCCAACACTACCCCAGACCTAAACCTACCCATAACCGAAGCGTGTTATATTGACGCTAAAGGGTGCCATGTGCGTCGGATTTAGACGCAATGTCAAAGGTGTCACCTATATGACGCCCTAGGACAACAAATAAAAACGATTAATTATGAAGGCTTTATTCAAATAAATTGATATACAATTCTCTTCAAAACTATCAACATCTTGAATGCATGTAGGAATCAAATTTAATGCTTTTTAATGCCATTTAAGGCCTTCATTTTTCACAGAATCCATTTAAGGACTTTTAATGCTTTTTAATAGTTACGGTAGTTTTTAAGGCAGGATTACGGCATGTGTATGGTCATGGTCAAAATAAGGCAGTGATATGTGCTTTATAAGTACACAAGTTAAGGATACAATGATAAGCTAATATCCTTGCAATATGCATCCTGATAAGCAACTAGTAATTGTGAGAATTGGACCCTAAACTAAAGTGTTACCAACATGCTTTGCTTTGAAGTGGAGACAAGCATATTTTCATGTTTTTTTTTACAGGCTTTCAAAATTAAAATAGCAATGGAAATATGAATTATTAAGATCATACTGTACATACTATTTTAGGTTACAGTTAAAACACGGTTTTCAGTAGGACATTTCTGTTTTTGTGACAACACCAGTCTCTGCAATGGTGATTTAGCATTCTTGAAATGTTTGCTTGTTTATTTCATTGCTGATTCTCATTTCTAGCTAGCTACCTCTTAGTTACTATAATACGGCAAGGAGCATTGACTTTCTAATGGGAGCTTGATAATCGATAAGCATGTTTGTGCAACGAAGTGAACTTTCTTTTCCCCAAACTCCCTTTTTTCTAGCTAGAGTAACACCTGGCCTGTTTCCAGGAGTTAACACTCTTTCACTACTTAAAGTGCTGTAAGATCAATGGAAAGGAAGAACCGATGTGATAAATGCTGTCAACAGTCTGACACTCCTCTGATAAAGCCGGTGACGGCTCAGGCCTTTGTTGACTTGGCAAAAGTTGTTGGAGCAAAGCGATGTGGAACACAAGTGATTATACTGAATCAGTGAGGACCTGAAACTGACAGCAGATGTTAAAGCGATTTAATATTTCATGATTCTAGATGATCTGAAGCAGAATTGGCTGTAAAGTAGTCTCTGGAGTATCGATGAAATTTTGATCAGTAAGCTCTGAATTAAATGATTGCCTTTTGGTGGAACTAATTCCTAGAGTCACACATCAGACTAAACCAGCTTAAAGAAATCATCCTTAGACATAAATTGATTTCCTCATGTGTGTTCAAACTCTTTCCACTGGGATTAGAAATCAAGAACGGGTGCAAGATTGACTGATTGGTTCATTCATTCATTCATTCATTCATTCTGATAATGGTTTGTTTGTTTGACACTTTTTCCAAGAATTGCATTTATTGTTTATCCGTTGTCTAAATATTTTCTAAACATATTTGCTCAAAATAGCAAAAACAATATTTAAAGGAGCATTTCACCCATTTTAACATTAATCTTTATTGAAACTGGATCATAAATGTAGTCGAAATGTAAACGAATTTTTGAATTTGGTGCCCTCTTGACCGAGAAAAGACGCATTTGACCGAGGGTCGCATTTGCATGTAAGACAACAACTCCCACAATGCACCACATTGCTCAGCTCCGCAAACCACACCCACAAATCCGGAACTGCGCACAGAGAAATCACGCTTCCGTCTACAAGGCTAACATTAGCTCTCACCAGAGTTTGAAATTCATTTCACAAAAAAATTCTAGTTAATTGGCTGTGGCGAGCAGGACGATTGAGGCCGAGGGACGTAAGAGGACGGCGCGAGGCCGGTGGCGTGAGTGATAATGAAAGACACCTGTGAGTCTCTCACGGAAGAGCGAAAGCATAAAATTAGGAGCGATGACGGCAGACCGAGAGAGAAACAGGCCTGATTTTATGATGCGTTTTGTTTCTCTTGTGAGTAATGTTACAGCAGTCGTCAATGAGGCGCTGCGGGCTTATACTTTCGTTTTGTATTTGTTCATTTTACTATTAAAATGTTTAAATGTTCGCCGGTTCCCGCTTCCTCCTTCCCACAACAACAAACCCCGTTAACGTTACATTGGCAAACTCATTAGTGAATTAGTCCTCTTTTGTATTTCTTTCTATATGGTGAATAACTGCATGATACCTGGATGTTCAATCAGGCGAAACTAGGATGGCTCACATCACAACACAAACGTCCGTGTGCTCGTCTGATTCAGAGATTTCGTTCAGGATAAATTGCCAATCGTTGAAATTTTCTGCAGCAGACGGACTCTATCTGTGTCCGTAGCGCACAGCGAGAGCACATACGCAGCAGTCCGCCTCATCTCGAGTCAGTCCGGACTCCTTGACTGCGACAGGCAGCCGCCTCCTGTTCCTCCATCAGCCTCAGCTGCTCTTCACTATCCTGCGACTCGTAAAGATAGCCACTAACATCGGATTCGAGCAGCAAACTTTCAAAATTCTCTTCTTCCATATCATGTTTAGTTTCTTCCATCCTAGCTCCACAGCACTTGCTAGCTTAGCTTCCAAACAAGATGGCGGATATTGATTTCAGTATCTGCAAGTGAAGTCCCACCCACTGACCTGTAATAGGCCTGTGGGGTGAGTTGGTCCCACACCCTTGAATAATAATGAGCTAAATTTTGTAGTCTCTACACATTTTAATGAAATATGACTTCCTGCTTATTATGACGCAAAATTATGATTTTTATGTCATAATAAGCAGGAAGTAAAACACTTAATCTCAGGGAAAAATAAGGGAATAAACCATGACCATTCAAAAATATGACTGTGTTTCTAAAGATACAAAGCTTAATGCAAATGGGTGAAGTGTCCCTTTAATGGAATCATTTAGTGGAACTGTAATACAATCATTATATTCTTTGCGATTTGCATCGATTAGGTAGCCACTGCTAAAACTCTAAATGTAATAATTAACCAGATTATATGTTTCCCTTTATGGTTTTGTCTTTAGCCCAGCCATGTCGGGCTGGTCAGTTCACCTGTGGTAATGGTCGCTGTGTACCAGAAGCGTGGCGCTGCGATCAAGATGATGATTGCGGAGACATGTCAGACGAGTCCACATCCTGTGGTGAGTCACTGTCCTAATACCTGATTGGCTTGGCAAATTCCACTATGGTATAACTGGTGAATTTGTCAGTACTGTCATCATCAACCTCCCTTTCTTTACTTTTCCACCAACATACAGTCTTTTGTCAAATCTGACCCCATTAAATACATCTCTGCAACCAAACAAACTGAAAACAAACCAGTAACAACAGGAGTGCATTTTTTTTTTGTTGTGAACAGATTATGTGCATGTACATAGTCAGTCTGGCTCTCAAATCACTGGTAACACTTGTTTGAGAGAGAGCCCTGCTTCTAAAGGTATATCTTTGCATCTCACTCTCACTCTATATTATTCCTCCACCAACAGCTACATGTTAATGTTAAGGGATGAGTGCAATGTTAACTATGGACATTCTTCCAGCCCTCGAGACTGCTTTTAGAAGCAGAAAGGAAATGGGAATTAAACTTGGATGCAGGAGCTTTTAAACATGTGGCCATAATACAAATCAGAAATTCTCTGATGTTAAAAGCTCAACATAACCACATCCCAGCCTCTGAAAGCAGACGGAAGAAAATGACACGGGGCTTTGAGAGGCAATGACCCAGGGAAGTTTCCACTGTAAACTCCTGCAGTGAAATGACTGTTCAAAACAGAACGTAAATTCTGGAAATGCTGGGTTAGACAGGTAGCCCTTTGAGGAGTCTTTTATTACACAAGCAATCTCAGTGAAGAAACACTTCATTATCTTCAGTCCTCCTTATGGAAGGAGGCACAGAGTATGCTTGTACCCCCTTATACTTTAAATGAATGCAACTTAATTATACTTCTATAAGTTTGCTTTGGGGAATTTCTTCGGTAATTTGTCAATTTTACTGTTAAAGGTGCTGGTGTCATTTTTTTCTTAAGATATCGCATGATTTTCTTTCTGATTAATCATGATTAATTGCATTGTTACACACAAAATTAAATGATAAGTTCTAAAGTAGTGTATTGTGCACTTTTGATTTAAACGTACTGCTACAGTATGTACACAAAAGTGCAATAACATGTGGTTTGCAAAAACTTTAAACAAATAAGTTGCTTTATACCAGCAGCATTCCCTTTACACAGTAGCAATAAAATATCTACAAGTATTGTAAATATCAACTTATACATTAATGTAATCCAATCAAATACTAAAATAAAGCTATTTGCCACTGCCAGGGGATTACCTTTTATCTAGCTTGTTAAAATTAGTCCAGTTTTCTTGTTTATTTTTTCTGAACAGGTATCAACGGGTATCTTTTATCAGGGAGCAGCAGAAACAGTCTATATAGTCAGAGTTCATGACCACTAGTACAGATATAAGTCGACCAACGTTATTTCTCTGATTGTAGCTAAGGTTTGGCCATGACATGTACCCTGACGTGTACCTCTGTAGGTCTATGTGCATTTAGAGCCAGTGAGCAACGGACTTTCAAATTAAAGCTGCGAGCAGCATTTATCGGTGTTCAAGCAGTTAACGCCAGCACAAAAGCATCAAAAAGACATTACGTTTTATGTAGAAAGCATGATTTACCATGATATACGACATTTCAGTGTGATATTGCATGATTTACCATGTTCTGATATGATTTACCATGATTCTAGCATTAATTACCATAGTTTACCATGATTTACCATGTACTAGGATGGTTTATCGTGATTTACCACGTTCTAGAATGATTTACTATGATTCTAGCATGATTTTCCACAGTATACCATGATTAATGCATTATGGAGTTAAAATTTTTCCATGTTAATGTCATAATGCTTACACAAACAAAAAAGAAACACGCACACACATGCATGCCCATACACGTTTGGGATATGTTATTGTGAAAAACCATGTGCTACCTAAGTTCACCATGATTTACCACATTGCTAGCATTGATGTGAAGTGTTAGTACAACAGATACACTCTGACAAAATATGAATGTGTTATAATAGTAATTGTTATAGTGATTTTATAGTGTATATATACATATGAATGCAAAATCACATGTGAAAAGACTATTATAAGGAGAGTGCGCAGCAGAGGGCAGTAGAAGACCACTTATTGGCTCACTTTCATTTTGAACTACTTCGTTTCTCCTGTATTCTGCACTAAATCAAAGCATTTTTTTTTCTTGTCAACTCCATAATGCATAATACATTTTTGCGAAATTATGACTTTTACTTTTGTATTTATTGGCTTTTGGCTGTATTTTGCTAGGGACCACATTTGAAATGACCATGTTGTAGCCAATCAAATGCAAAATTTAAACTTTTTTTTCTATAATTATTGATCTAGACAGTCCAGAGAATAGGCCTAGACTGGTTTGGTTCAGGTCAGGCGAAAAACCAGGGACTAGTTCGCAAAAGTAGGTTTTGGACAATATTCGACATAACTTTTTTTTTTTTTTGACCATAAGTCCAGATCGGAGATATACATCTTGTCCGTCTTGAGCCAGGGATTACAGTGGTGTACAGTCTAAGAGTTATGAGCAATTTGGTACTTTTGGTTTCTGTTGCGCCACCTACTGTATTTGCCAATCGGGCTCATACTCGGATAGGTTCTGAGGCCCTATCTGGCTGAGTTTCAAGTCTCAAGGCCTTACGGTTTGGGCTGCATGATGCGTTTTAGGGGATTTGTTTCTTTTTCTCCTAGCAATTGCAATATGTTTTTAGCACTTTGTGCTTGAACACCTAAAAAACTGTGTTAACCTGCAATAAAAATAATGTCGGCATTAATTAATAAATGCTTTAACGCGATAATAATGCGTTAACTTTCCCAGCCCTAGTTTTTTTTTTTACATTTTTACATGTCAGCCTCATACCATCAACATTCAAGCATGTGATGCATTGTTTCCCTAGGGTCCCTATACATTTATATGTGCATTTAAAAGGTCTGTGTAAATGCAGCTTTTCATGGTATCATGGTTTCATTATCACTTCTCCTTTCTGTCATTTTTACTCCTCTGAGAACAAAATTTAATTCTGACTCGTTTCATGCTATGCAGTAAATGTAACTTTCTGGGTTTCTGTCACCTAATGCTGCAAATTGCTCAAAGTGCCATTGTCTTGGTTACCTCTGCTGTGTCTTCGGCTGCTTCACTACACTCTTTCACAAACACTCCCAGTGTAAGCAGTAATTAGAGTGCATGCCTGACTTCATTTAATCGTAATCAAGCTGGGCCGAAAGACGGAACTTCACTGGCTTCCACAACTCCACTGTGCACAACACATCCAAAACACAGTGACGCTCAGCTTGCTGTGTGCTAATTACCATTCTCAACGCGTTTCAAAGCTTTCAAAATATGTTTTGCTTTCTTACAATATTGGTTTTCCTGTGCAGCTGTGACATTTTGGTATTGGCCATCACTACCATAAAAAAAGGATAGTTCATCCAAATATTGTCATTATTTATTGCCTCACGTCATTCTAACTTTTAGTTTTATTGATGATTTTTTTTTTCTTTTTTTTTTTTTTAATATGGGGTTGGGTTGTAAATGATGAAAGAAACATTGACAAGATCCTATGCAAAGACAAAATACAGATTTTTTTTTGGTCCAAATTACGAAAAAATGATATGCTAATATGTGGTATTTGATATGTCCAACAGTCTCATGAAAGTGCATATCTATACCACGAATGTAATTTCTCATGCCATTAATACGCCAAAAATGTTTTTTGTTTTTTTTTGCGTTTATATGCTACGCACTGAAAACACCTTTGCTAGGTTTGGGGGGGTGGAGGTGTTTGGAGTGTGTGTCATACATTTTAAATATCATACATTTTAAAATTTAGTCATATTTTTGAAACATTTTTCTCAATGTTACTTTTGTCATAGCTTTGCCTTTGGGTAGAGTAGTAACAACAACTATTGATGAATAAATGGGATCACGGATGTGGAAATTGATACTATAAATGTAAAACCGCATGTAGATTTGATTTAACGTAGAAATCATTGCTGATGTTTTATTTATTAGATAACAACAACGTGTTGAAGTCCTGTCTTGAATATAGGATTGTATAATAATCTAAAAGATATGAACTTGAACTGCCACTGTCTACTGCACAGATTCTTATAAGTGATTTCCCTCCCTTCAAATCAGATTTCACCGGGCAAAGTTATTACCTCTTCAGTCTCGCTATTTGTTGTTGAACCTGATCTATTATGAAAACAGGATGTTGAAAGTAGTAATTGCCAAAGTCAGGGGACTGGAACAGTCTGTTGTGAAATTTAGAAGTTGTCTGCTTTCAACGTTAACAGCAGCGTGTTCAAATAAAACTTCTTGTTTTTATTTTGTTTGTTTTTATTTGTTGACTCAACTGTAATCTTGACAACTGTAACAGTCTTCTCCTAGATTAGCAACACATCAAATTATGTGCTTTCCAATGACTTCTAAGAGTTCTTATTCGTGCCGGCAAAGGTTTTATTCGTAAGGGGGAAAAAAACAATTCCCTAAAAGTAATTTTCTCCTGGGAAGCCCTTGGGATCTGTTATTTCTGAAATCCCACGTGCTCAGTTTACTGCTGTTGTTGTTTTGGAGATGTAACCCAGTGGAGCAGAACGGCATCTAAAAATGGTGAATGATACTGTATAACGCACATATTCAAGCAATTCTTGCTTAATTCAGTATTACTTTTCACAGGTTGTAACCCAATTACTATATATGGCCATCTCATTTGATGACAATTCAAATGTTCTGTAATTAAGCAACATCAATTTGTTTAAAATGGGCTTTATGCACAGCTGCACTACTTCCTGAACTTAAGCCAGCTCCTTGTTTCCTGTCTGCCATTATTGGCCAAATTGATTAATTCAGGTGTGTCTGATTATTGTTGTCGTGCCTACTGAGGTCAGGCACACTTGCATTAATCACTTTGGCCAATAATGGCAGATAGGAAACAAGGAGCTGGCTGAAGTTCAGGAAGTAGTGCGCCTGTGCATAAAGCCCATTCAAAGTGTCCTAAGCATGCATTTTAATGCATTTTGTTCTTAGATGGACACTCCACTTCAACTCACACACACTCACACACGTCATGTTTTATGGGGATCTATCACAGAATCACCTATCACAGAAAACTTTCTAAAGTTTTAGATTTTCAAAACACATTAGTAACATTTTAGAATGATTTATAAGCTGTTTTCCTCATAGGTACCAAATTTTCAAAATTTCCCCATAAGGTCCAAATTTACTGGTATTACTAATACCAGTAAATTGGGGACATCATTGATGTTTGCTGAACCATGTTTGAGTCAAATGACCAGAGTTATACCTCCTCATTGCTGAGATATACTGAATAATGTATAGTGATTCAGCAAAGAGGCTATTGTATTAATAAAAGTCATGGGGTAGCCTTAATAACAACTTTCTGTGCTCCTGAATGCTTATGTATGTGCAGTGTGATCTCTGTCTTAAATGAAAGCAGCACATCAATATTAGAGCTGTGTATCACCAACAATGTCACGATACAATATGCATCACGATACGATACGTATCACGATATGGATCAATTTGGAATTTAAAATTTATTTTGAGCTGAGTGTAGTAACAGTGTTATAACAGTTGTGATAACTGAAAAAAAAAAAAAAACAATTTAGTTTTTGTCATAAAAAAACAATGATTTCAATAAAAATGCAGAATGGCACTTCCTTCTGCTTTTAAAGTCTGCCTCAATAACTGAAATGACAATTATACTGACACTGAAGCATGTCTACACTGCTCAATGACTAAACAAAACTTAAAACATCCCATAAAAGCAAAAACGGTAACAACTTAAATTGAAATTAGTTTTCTCAAACTCTTTAAAACACCTAGTATTTGACAATTTGGTCACTTTGAAAGTAATTTTTGATATGTTTTCGCTTACCTCAAGGGCATCCAAGATGTCTTTGTTTCCAGAGTATTTTCAATTTTGACATTTTCGGTCAAACCGTTGTTGTCTGTCAGTCATAAAATGGAGGTCTATGGTCACTACCTCAAAGAGCATGCACAGAGAAGTCCAAATTAAACATGATTTAATGACTCGTGAATGTAAGTACACATTGATGGCCTAAGACAAGAAACGAGCGGTTTGTGTGAGAAAATGAACAGTATTTATATCGCTTTTACCTTGTGAAACCACAGCCATGTCCAAATGATCGGAATCAGTTGCCCAATGTCCAACTGAACCATGTCCATGTACCAACCTCCAACTGATAGATAACAACGGTTTGAACGAAAAATATCAAAATTGAAAATACTGTGGAAACAAAGACACCTACATCTTGGATGCCCTTGAGGTAAGCTAAGACATATAATAAATTAATTTCAAAGTGAACTATCCCTTTAAGTGTTGAAATGTGCACCAAACAAAGTCATTTCTTCTATGTTGAAATCATGTTTATATTTTCAGATTTGTATGCAGAAACAATTGATTGACATGCTCAGGGTGAAGAGAGTGACAACAGTAACTTCATCATACAACCGCGAATTGTCATTTCTGTTAAAAACGTTTATGCTTATAACCATAACCAACTGAGTTTAGAGGATACTTACCAAGACCGAAATTTTTGACATAATTTTGCGTGTTTTAGTCTGTTAAAGCGATATAATCTCGCGAGCTGTATGTGAGGCGGCTTTAGGCTACGCTAGTCTATAGCACGCAGAGAAAAGCAACTCTCAGAGAGCGCGCAAGTACTGAATATAGGGTGACCAACTGTCCTGTTTTCATATAACAATATAACCATTTTCTATCCATACAGAGGAGGCATAACCTACTTTAAATGTATTGAAATTAATAAGGTATCTTTGAGTAAACTTCGAGTATCATTTGAGTAGGCCCATCTGTTTGCCGGGCCAAGTGTCCTGGTTTTTGGTAATCAAAATATAACGGGTAAGACTTAAAAACGCACAAATGGTAAACTTTAGTCACGATGCAATGCTGGCCCGATTTAGCAAGTACATATTCCGTCATGTCCCGACTCGTGTAGTTTCACCGGCTCACACTTGCCTTGGGCAGCCGTTTTTAGAGACGAGAGCGGAGACGCAGCACCATTGAACTCACGCTGTTGGTGAAATTGTGTCTCAAACTACTGATTTGATTTCATAATCTGTGTGGATTCATTTTCCAATACGGCCTACTTGTTAAAGTAAATCAATATTTGCGGGAATTTCCCGCATTATAATTGGGTGATCTGCGGGAATGATAAAAATTATACTCAATATATGCGCCGAAATTCGAGCCCTGAATTGGCTACATTCAAAAGCACAACGGTATCGATATGGGCATTGCCAGGAGTTCATGACGATGTATCGTTGTATCAATATTCTGAGCACAGCCCTAATGAATATATGCAACGGCAGTGGTGGAATGTAACGAAGTACAAATACTTCGTTACTTTACTTAAGTACATTTTTCACGTATCTTTACTTTACTTAAGTACAATAAATAGTGCCTACTTTTTACTTTTACTTCGTTACATTTTGCAGCAATTATTATACTTTCTACTCCACTACATTTCTACAACTTCTGTTACATTTTCGTTACATTTTCTGATCAGTTTTTCCCCTGCCAAAACGTAATCTGACCGTCCGTTCGTTGCACGTTTGTCTCACCAGTGACGTTTGGTTGCCATAGATACAGTATATCAACCCGGTCACACTAAATGCGTCTCACACGCAGTGTGTTTATCATGCAACTCATACGCGAAAATTTGTTTTTACATGCATAACCGTGTGTAATATATGTTTGCTTTGGTTAGGATTATGGCAAGCCAAGAGGTTCAGAATTACACCATAAATGAATCGCGTTTACTGCCAAACATAGTTATTAACATATAGTACTAAGGATAAGCATGATATTGCCTAATTGCAAGCTTGTTTCAGAAATGGTGACATTTTTTTCCATCATTATTGAACATCATTATAGGAGTAGGCTATTAGGTTGAATGAGTTAGAATGAAATGTTTTATTAATCATTAGAAAATAGACATTAAGATAATAAATTGTTATGCAAGTACTTTTACTTTTAATACTTAAAGTACATTTAAAATAAAGTACTTTTTACTTTTTACTTAAGTATGGTTGTCATTGTGTTACTTCTACTTTTACTAAAGTAAATATTTATCTGGGTATTTGTACTTTTACTTAAGTACTGAGATTCAGTACTTCCTCCACCACTGTACAACGGTGACGACTAACTTGAACTACCAGAGCATTAAACTGTTTTAATGCACACCTTCCAATCAATCAGAATCAAGTATTCAGACAGACCATGGTATAATATATACAGTTTGTAAATCTGTTAATGATTAAAATACGTTCTTTTTAGCATTTCATATGTAAATGTATGAACTGTAATCTATTCTATAACAAGAAGCTTGTTGATTCAGTACCTTCAAGCCGTGACCTGCTTTACTGTGTGGGGTTTTCTTGACTGAGCTGAGATACACTTTAAAGAGAAACAGATGTTGTTCCTCCACTGTGTGTCATGTCACTCTTTCTAACATGCTCTAGTGTAGTCACAAAAAGGTGTAACGCAATACGAGACACGATTTATGTTCATAAGCTCATACAGATTGCATTCATCAAAAAGCTTGTAAATGCTCTGGTGCTATTTTCAATAGTAAGTCATCTTTATCCATTTTCACCAAAGGGATCATGATCCACAGGTTAATAGCAAAACCTACTGCAACTCATAATGTTGTAACAATAACCTTTTGATATCTTTAAATCAATGCTAGTGAAGCGCACAAACCGTGCTATCACATCGCTGGTGTGTTATTGCTTCCCGGTGAGCTCTTATTGCCTCTGACTGTTTTCCACTGCATTTTTGAGGTCCCGTTTTCCCTTTGTTTGTGATTTTCTTTTCATTAACCTTAGCTAGAAAATAGCAATAATTCACTGTGACATTTTGGATGACCTTCAGGGTGTCGTGTTTTCCGCAATACTAGCACTAAACCCTAGCGGTATGACTTGCGTAAAAATCTAAAATGCAACACGCTGCAAGAGAATAGTTACAGGTTCAAGTTTGCCCCCAAACTTGCATAAAACTATGACATTTCCTGAGGACAGACAAAAGAGCCTCCAAAATTTAATCTATTAGCATGACAGAGCAATCTGTGCCAGGACAAACTTCTTTTGCAATTTGTCAAAGCTAAAAGCTAAATGAAAAATGGGTTTTCTTCTCCGGTGTATCAAAGAGACAATGATGTATTGGATTGGGTTCAAGCGTCAGGGTTTTTGCGACGAATGTTTCTCACGCTCTTTGTCTTTGCTCACAGCTTTCCCAACCTGCGAAGCTCTCAGCCAGTTCAGCTGCGCTAATGGGAGGTGCATTAGCATGAAGTGGCATTGTGACTCAGGTAAGTGTATCCAGAAGTAAGAAAATTCTTTACCATTTGCTTTACTTGCTTTCCATTTGACACTATGATATATTAGCCTATATTCTTTGGAGCTGATAAAAGAAAGCCCGGCACTTTAATTCAATTAATTCCATTGATCCTTCTGTCCAGTCTTTTTTTGTTGCACAAGTAATGCATCACATTAATAACCATTAAATATTCACAGATTGTTTTATCTGAAATATCTCCATTTCAGATCAAGGAGAGAGTAAAATATCGACCTCTATATATAATTGCCGAACCTCAAGGTCTGCAATACGTTATTTTTTTATGTGTTTCTTTCGCTTTTATTCTTTTGTTCCTACAACGTGATCATTCAGCCAAGGTCAGCACACAGTATGGCGTTGTTTCCAGTGTCAGGGCCTTCATATACCTTGATGATTTGTCTGTACAAAATGAGGCTTGGCGTAATACAATGCCCTGAAGACTCTCGTCTGAAAAGCTCCCGTGGTGCTGTCCTCAGTTTTTGTCATTTTAGTTCTTAGTATTGTGCAGCAAACCATGAGGCACAACAGGGTTAAAGACCCCCTTAAGGAAAATGTCCCATTTTCTGGTATCAAAGTGTATGACGATCTTAAAATCTATTTATTTTTATTGTATTTTGATGGAGCAACACAATTTGTGAGACAATACATGTTTTAAAAAAAGGCCAACCTTATACATTGCTGTTCAAAAGTTAAAGAAAGTATTATTATTAGTAGTAGTAGTATATTTATGAAATCAATACTTTTATTTAGCATGCCATTTAAATGTATCAAAAGAGACAGTGAAGACATGTATAATGTTACAAGAAAAATTATATTTAGAACGTGATGTTCTTTTGATCCTGAGGAGAAAAAAAAAGTGTGGTTATCACAAAATATATCTAAAACAAAATCAATTAGTACAACAGTTTTCTACAGTACATAAATATTAAAAATGTTTCTTGAGCAGCAAAACAGCAAATTAGAATGATTTCTGAAGGAGCATGACATTTCAGACTGGAGGAAAAATAATAAATTACAGCAATACATTTATTTTAAAATGAAATAAAATGTGTCATTTTTTATTTTTTGTTATTATTATAAAAACAAAATGCAGCCTTGGTGAGAAAAAGAGACTTTTTTCATAAACAATAAAAGGAGTAGTTCACTTAAAACAACAACAACAACAACAAAAAACTTTTGCTGATAATTTACTCACCCCCATGTCATCCAAGATGTCCACGTCTTTCTTTCTTCAGTCGAAAAACAAATGAAGGTTTTTGATGAAAACATTCCAGGATTTTCTCCATATAATGGACTTCATTGGGAACCAAACGGTTCAAGGTCCCAATGAGAGTTTCAGTGCAGCTTCAAAGGGCTTTAAACGAAACCAGACGATGAATACGGGTCTTAAACATTTGAATGATAGATTATGTGGACACCTAACACAGTCTCATCCCAAGTCATCATATAACTGACGTCTTGGGACGTCTTTTGACCATACGTCAACATCCGCTTTTTTAGGGTACCCTTAAACGTCGGTTAGTTGACGATCCCGGGCCATCATACAACTGACGCTTTACCTTTAACGTCAGTTGGGGTAGGTCTGGGGTAGGGTTAGGATCCGATAATGTCATCTAACAGACGTTTAAGGGTACCCTAAAAAGGTGGATGTTGACGTATGGTCAAAAGACGTCCCAAGACCTCAGTTATATGACGTCTTGGGATGAGACTACGCTGGGACACCATACTGTCAAACTGTCTATTGCAAGTTATTGGATTATTAATACATGACTGTACTGTATTTGCAATTGTAGATGATGATTGTGGAGACAACAGTGATGAAGCAGGCTGCATTCACTCCTGTGCTAATGGCCAGTATAAGTGCACCAGTGGCAGATGTATCCCAGACCACTGGGCCTGCGACGGGGACAATGACTGCGGGGACTTCAGTGATGAAAATGTGACTTGTGCTGGTGTTGCCCCTGGTAGGACATCACCTTTCTCTCTTTGCCCATTTATAGGGTCCTTTGGGATGAGCATTTAGGTAATTTTTTTGCTTGCGGGATGATTCCTGTAAATTCAAGCTCTGTCTGCACTTTGCTTGGCTGAGGTATGCATGTGTCAGACAGATATATTTTGCTCTGTGAGCACATTTTCTTCTAAAACCACTGCATTTTGTTTCATTTGATCATCTGCACTCCGTATATATTGTATTATATTAGATTCGATGTAACTTTTATTGACATTGCGCATAATGGAGAGGTATATATATGATATAATGGAGAGGTATATATACAATGCAGTCTCATCCCAAGACGTCATATAACTGACGACTTGTGACCATACGTCAACATCCGCCTTTTTAGGGTACCCTTAAACGTCGGTTAGATGACGTTATTGGATCCTAACCCTACCCCAGACCTAAATCTACCCCGTCACCTAACTGGCGTTAAAGGTAAAGCGTCAGTTGTATGACGGCCCGGGATTGTCATGTAACCGACGTTTAAGGGTACCCTAAAAAGGTGGATGTTGATGTATGGTCAAAAGACGTCCCAAGACGTCAGTTATATGACTTCTTGGGATGAAACTGTGTTAATATATAAATGGATATAGGTAGCATCTAATCAGAAATGCAAATATGAATATAGCATTTAAATGAATGATAGTAAACTGCAAATGAGGTGTAAATGGCCTTATAGTATTCAGAAAATCATCATGTGCAGCGTCTATTGCTGTCCAAACTGTAATCAAGACCATGAGATGATGATATTGCCAACAAGGGAAAAAAAAAAATGGTCTTTTACATCATTTATTGCTGTCATTTCTAAGTACTCGGATACTTAGTTACCGTGCATGCCATATAAACACATCAGAGTAATCACAGAGCATTTAGAGAGGTCGCCATTCCCTGTTACGTTGATTAAAAACTCATTTGTGTCCGTTGCTGTACATGACCAACTTAACAAACTTATGGAGTGGTTTCCAGAGAATCTGTTTAACACGACTAATTAGCAGCCTAACAAAGAGCCGACCGATAGCAATCAAATCAGTGTTGCTTTTAATTGCCTTGGTGCAGTGTCTCTAATTTGGGGAACACAAGTTTAAAACTTTCTCTCTTTTCATACACTTGACAGATCTAATCTTATCTGAGCGCACTAGGGAACCACCTTACAGATTTGAATCTTTTAATCTGCTGTAATTACCTCTGAAAGCTGAGGCCAAGTCCTTCAATGCTTTCAGCTCACCAGCTTGTCACAGAAATGTTGGAGCCATTCATCAAACGGGCTCCTGACAGGGGTTCCCGGCTCCTGTCCGTCTCTGAGGGTTTGTCCGGCTCATATATTTCCAGTGCAGGGCTCAGATCACTGTATAACACGTGCTCCGTAGTTGTAAAGTGGAGGATACATTGGTAACTCTCAGCATTAGCCTTAAGCAAAGCAGGGTGCCCTTTAGTCTTTAAGGGTTGGTAATGTTACCAGCTGTCTTTTTCAAGGAAGCCATTTGTTTTGTTTGATGGCAGTCTGCGGATTAAGGTTTGTGTATAAACATGTTTTTGGAGTATATATTTTAACTCCTGTCAATTCTAGTCAAGGTTAAGAATGAATCAGAATCAAAACTGAAATGGAAGGCTACAGAAAAGAAGCCTTTTCTTGTGTGCTTGTCCTAAGAAATTCTAACCCCTGTCCTTTCCGTTAAATATTTGCCAGTGTCGGAGAGAATGGTTAAATGTGTATTAATGTGCCAAGAAAAAAATCTTGAAGTATCTTTGATACATCTCAGCCTATTTAACATTATTAAGGCTAGCTGAAGTCATTTGAGTTAAAAATAAACGCTTATGAAACCTTATTAAAGTTATTTCTTCATTTGTTTAACCTTTCTGTTTCTAATACATTCTTAATGGCTCCATACATTTGTCAAATATTAATTTGAAGTATTAATTCATTATAGTTAGAAAAGCGTTCTTTCATTCCCAATTGATGAGATCATTTCAATATTGTCTTTATTAGAAGTGACATAAATTCAATAATTGACTTTACATCTCACAATTAGCTGTGTGTGTTTGAACCACTGAACAGACTCGGAGTCATTTGTTCGGGACTTGAAATACACAGTCGTGCTTTACATGTTTTATTCAATTAAACGAACAGAATCATTTGTGCTGTGTTGAATGGATTTATGAATTTAAAAATCTGTATAGTCAAGTAGCATCAGCTAAACAGCTAAATTTAAGTGCCCATAGATTTCAAATGTTTTTATGCAGTATTACAGTATTTATTATAATGATTTATCCATGCACACATTTTATTTTTAATTCATGTGCCTTCATAATTTGTAATCAAAATAAATTCAGACTTCTCTCTGATGATATTTTTCAGCAAGGTTGGGGCTTTAGCAAACCAGGGTCCAACGATCCAATCAATTCCCGATAGACAAAAGTCCCGTCCTACATTTTTTTCTCATTCGACAAGATGTTTCGCTCTGATATAGTGAGATTTTTGATTCTAAATCTGGAATTGGACAATCCTGGTCAGTGTGGTGTATATTTGATTCACTAAAATGTACTGACTCATTAAAGTCGTTTGTTCAGAACTGGAATTCACTGGTCACCCTCTATAGGTTTGATTCCCTAAAAAGATCCAACTCATTAAAGTCATCTGTTTGGAACTGGACTACACTGGTCATTCTGTATGTGTTTAATTCACTAAAAAGATCTGACAGATTAGTGTCATTGTTTGGACTAAACTGGTCATTCTGTGTTTGATTCACTGAAAAGTAGCAACTCATTAGAGTCTTTCAGGAATTGGAGTACCTCAGGATCAACCCTTTTTTTGTGTGTGTGTCATGTCCAGCATTGCCTCCTGTGGAGTGCAGTGGAGAGGAGTTTCACTGTCGCGCTGATGGGACCTGCATTCCTGAGCGCTGGCGCTGCGATGGGGATAAAGACTGTGAAGACGGCAGTGACGAAACCAACTGCAAGGGCGTTAAGAGAATATGTGATCCCCTGGCTAAGTTTACCTGCAAAAGCTCAGGTAAGCTTTCCAGGTCTTTCTCAGAATCAGTAAGTCTGCTCTGACCTCACAATTTTTATTTTAACATTGACATACTGCTGTAGATCCCTCTTGTGTTCAATATAACATAAATCAAAGTTATTAAAATCTATGAAGCTGTGGGTGATATTTTATGCCACGATGTCATCCTTAAGCTTTCAGTTATCATTGCCTCTTGCAAATTGAGTCGGATGATAAATCCAGTCTGTTTTGCGTTACATGGTGCAATCCTTTGCAATGTTTGAATTTATATTGATCCAGAACGACTGAGATGAATGGTGTAACTTGTGAGCTTGAGTGATTTGTATCTCACAGTGATTTCTATTTTGATAGCAAAGCCATTATTACATGTTCAGAGTATAAATGTTGTACAAAACTAAAAATGGTAGATCATTTCTGTGCCACTGCCCACTAGGTTCGATGAACCATTACCATTATGAACCCTTAAAGTTACACCTTTGGTTGAGCCAATGTTGCTGTGTTGGAACATGTTAACACTATAGAGACAGTGAATATTGTAGCTTGCTTTCATTTTTTTCAGCAGATAAAGCTGCAGAACATGTTGAATGCGTTGGGGTGGAAAAATGTCACATCTCACCTCACAAAAATGATTACATGCAGTGTTTCTTTTGAACATATTTTGCTGTAATTTGTGTCTATCACAATTTTGTTTCTCCACTCAGACCATAGTGAAATCAATCAAAATGGGCCTTTTTTGATGTAGCAGTCACCCTAATTTTAAATGATTGCCTTGAAAAGACATCTAGAGCCAAGCCATAAAAGAGCTCAAGAATTGTGCGTTGTTTTGTTCCAATCTCGTTTGATGTAAAGCATGTGCTAAAATGCAAAGTACAACCTCTCTGGACCACTGCACTGCAGGCTGAATGCCATATCATTTTGACAGGCTCAGAAAGTGGTGTACAACTGTTTATTTGATCATGAAGGTGTAAGGACCACCCATTGGTCCAAAGACGGAATCCAAACGCCTGGGCGAAGGGATAATGCGTGGATGTCTTTTTAGCACTCCAGTGAAGTTCACTTAATTTATTAGAATTTAGTTTCAATATTGATTTAGCTATAGACCATTTCACAAGATGTAAACAACACTGGTCCAGAAACACTTCCTGTTTCAGTTTGTAACTGTTTTCTTTATTTCAAATGTAAAGAAAACATCTTAAAGATGTTTGTTTAACTTTTTGATTCAGTTTTAAATGTCCTGTTGGTTGTATTTGATCCCATCTTTTATGTAGTGTTAAAAAACTGAAACAGGAAGTGCTTCTGGACCAGTGTTGTTTACATCTTGTGAAATGGTCTATACAGAGGGTGCAGGGTTTGCTAATACCTCTTAAGTCGGTTGCCTACTGCTCACTCATACAAAAAAAGTGTATTTTATGTAGCCACTTCACTACAACTTGCCAAGTCAGTGATAGACAGAAATCAAAAGGTCTTCAGATGATGTGCTTCCTGCTCTATTCATATGCGCCTTTAGTTTGGCCTATCTTGGACACAGAGCTGTGGTAGCACCAGCCTCCTTATAATCTACTAAAATAATGATTTCATAATACTTCAGAATAAATCAAGATGTTACATTTATTTGTCAGGTAAAATTGTATCGTGCCAATTATACAAGTAATTAACAGCCAATTCAGAAATCATAAATACATAATATATTACTCAAAGATGATTATAAAAGTAAGCAATGCATTCCTGACAGAGACACACGGGGGAAAACACTGACACAGGGCAATCTAGGGGTGAGCCTCACTGCCAGCACCCACTCTCTTTTCACATTATTGGAAAATAATTTTAACATTCAACATTGGTATATTCAACTATAGGGCAATGTCCTGCGCTCTTTGCGATCTTCTGTCTAGGGATCGTTTTATTGCTTTATGGTGAGTTTTATCTCAGCTTTTGTCTTCAGCAGGAAAATCAGTTCTCACAAAGGTAGACTGATCTCAAGGAAACATGACTGGCAAACTTTTAAAGTGTACAAGTTTAAAAGTTTCTGGTCAGTTTTAAGATTTGTTTTATTTTTACTATTAAAGTCCACTTGTAGTCAATAATTGTATTCCTTAAATCTTTGATCACCAAAATGTCATATTTAAATGTTTTTTTTTTTTTTTGCCTTAAATAGCTTGAATGTAACTACATTTCTACAGTACGTTCCTTTTCGCTATCTCAGAGTCAAACAGCTGACATCTAAGAAATCTTTTTCTTAGAAACACTTTGAACAGCATAAAACGTGTGGAGAAATGCATATAGTTCATCATTACATCAAAAAATATGTATAATTCACCCGCTATTAGGGTTGGGTATCGTTTGAATTTGAACGATTCTGATTCCGATTCTTTTAAGAGGCAGGGTCAAAAAAGTTTAGCTAACCTTGCTAACCAATGGTCTTTCTGAAGGAAATACTCCTTCTGTCGAGAAGGTTTTGAAGGTTCTGTGTTCTGTCGACTCCTTTTGCCGAGATTTCGTTATTTTTAGAAAAGTGAAGCCACACTTTGGACCGCTGACACAAGCTACTCATGTTCGACTCGTGCGGTTATGCCAACACTTCCGGTAGACGCTTCTTCATTGTTGGTGTTCAGTGGTTTCTTCTTCCGCTTGGCGGACTGTGAATATCGAAACTAGGAATCGAAATTTTAACTTTTGAACGATTCCGGGAAAAGCGAAAAGTTAGTCCCGGTTATACTCGATTCTCGATACCCAACGCTACTCGCTATATTGCTAAATATTCATATCGACAGAAAATTATACTGGGATTACCTGGCTTCTCTCACGACTCCCTTGCTCAGCAGTTAATGATATGCGGAATTGGTTAAAGTAGTTTGTGACGTACGAAACAGCGGCGATTTCAAACCGTGTTTTTGAGACTGTCATTTTTCCAATGCAGTTTTAAGGAGAAAATTAATTTGCACATGGTTTGTCTTAAAGCATATACTAAACACCAACGTATTGTGATGTTGATGTAAACAACATCAAACTTAAACAAAACTTTGAATGACAACTGATATTTTACAAATATATTAAAATAGATAACATTTGACATTACTGTTTTACTGTTTTTTTGATCAAATAAATGCAGCCTTTGTGAGACTTTTTTTCAAAAACATAAAAATATCCGCCACACCCCAAACTTTTCATCGGTATTTATATATATTGTATTTAAAATGTTTAAAAAGTGTTGCAGTTTTGATAAAAATGAGTCTCTGTGGGTTAAATGAGCTGACACTTGCTAAAAGCTTCTGTCTGCATCCGACTTCACCACAGCTTGACGTTCCGCCACCTTTTTAAAATTTACCCCGATTTATCTTCATGCTCAACTACAAACAACAATTTAAGGCTGACAGCTTGATTTATTAAGAGGTATGACTGAATGTTGTGTCCCAAGGGAAGTGTATCAGCAAGAGCTGGGTGTGTGATGGTGACAACGACTGTGAAGACCACTCGGATGAAGACTCGTGTGAGTCTTCCATCTGTAAGCCCCCTACTCAGCCCTGTGCAAATGACTCCAGCACCTGCCTGTCTCCCGGCAAGATCTGTGACGGGAGAAATGACTGCGCTGACCATTCAGATGAGGGCCCTTTATGTGGTGAGTGCATGCAAGGCTTTGTTTAGAGCCTCATCTGCTGTAGTGTCCTAAGATTGATTAAAAAAAAAGTATCGTTTCAACTCTTAATTAGGATTGGATGAGGCATGTTTGAAGGCACCTGTGACTGACAAATTAGACATTAATGTGCCTGTGTTGCTTGGCAACTGTAAATAGACTACAAAGTAGGATAATGACCTCATTTTTTTCTTTGCAGAAGATTTATTAATTTGCATTAAAACGACAATTTAATATTAATAATAATAATAATAATAATAATTTATTGGGTATTTGTTAAGCATTATTGGTTTTATCTAGGGCTGTCAAACGATTAATCGCGATTAATCGCATCCAAAATAAAAGTTTGTGTTTACATAATATATGTGGGTGCACTGTGTATAATTATTATATATATATATATATAAATACACACACATACTTGTATATATTTAAGAAATATTGTCATGTATATACTGTATATATATATATATATATATAATTTATATTATATATAAATATAAATATTTTATATATAAATATTTTTTTTCTTAAATATACTGTACATGCATGTGTGTATATTATATACAAAATAATTATACACAGTGCACCCATATATATTATGTAAACACAAACTTTTATTTTGGATGTGATTATTTGCGATTAATCTTTTGACAGCATTTTTAGAGTGTAGTATGTTGATACTGTTGACTATTTTTTGTATGTGGATATATTCCTGGAAAAGAAAGATTTTAAATGTGACATTTTGAAATGTAAATATCTGCTAAAGTTCATTTTAAAGTCCGCAGAGCTAACAGAAATAGTCTAAAAGCCACAAATCTTTGATTTTTTTTTTTTTTTTAATTCATTCAGCCTTTAATCAATGCAAGTGTCGCAGTGCATATTTATCACTGGGTCCATAATGCTTGTGTTCACAGCCTTATTCATTGTACACCCTGTGACTAACGCTAATTGAAAACTGCTATGGTATTACGTGAGGTCCTGTGCATTCGGCAAGAAATGTTGGATGGGTTGAATTAGAATTAGTCATGCAGAGTAGCTATATCAATACACAGGAAGCCAAACCATAAAAAAACTAAAATATCTACTGACCAATGAGAATTAAATATTTGAGGAGTATAGATTCGGATTCATTTTCTTGAGAAAATCAATATGTATTATGTTTACCTCTCCAAAAATATGTGGATAATACTGTGCCTACGCATTCGGCATATCTCTAAGGGCTACTTGAATCTCTTTAAGTTGCATCCTTGATTGAGTGTAATGGAAAGCCTGCACATGCTCTGTAAACTACAGACACAGGAAAAAATAAGTCCCGTCTGAATCAGAGCTAAACATGATGATCTGTTTGCCTGTGAAGCCCTCACTGGGGAAAGTGTCTCCTGAGAGTCACTGATGTATAATTCTCTCAGAAATGGGACTAGACAAACATTTCAGTGACTTTCAGTGCATTACAAGCACTCGCCCATGGGAGCCCACCGCTCATGTTCTGAGGACGATGTGTGTTATGTCTGACTAGACCTGTTTTTGGCTTGGGTCTCTCATTGCCAATTAGATGGTGCCAATGGACCTTGAGTGGGTTGACTGACTCAGACCAGCGCAGCAGGACTCAATGCCATTTGTAACCTTTGGGAAGCAGCCATTCTTCACCTCCATATAGACTTCAGGGTCCCCTGTGAAGAAAATTCAATTCTCTCTTACTGCCACAGAGGGGATCATCATAATCAGTAGAGGCAAAGAGACCTTGGAAAGTGTCATTTTCAGCAAGCTGTGTTTTCCCTCCCTTTTTTTTTCTTTCTTTCTTTAAAAGGACCGTGCTTCTATGAAAGGAAAAGGCTTATTTATTAGAGATGAGAGAGTAAAAGTACCAGTGTTAGTCTGATCCGTTCTGAAAAGAGATGATATATCCGAGACCCAGTTTCCATTTATTTTAAACTGAAGAAAAAGGCATTTTCCACCTTGAATGAGTTTGTTTGGCCTTTTTTTTTGACACTCTGCTAGTGATGTTGATTAGGTCAGTGTATTGGCATAATGCTAGTCAAGAAAGACACCAAAACTTTTGAGGTGAAGAGTGATAAGCTTTCAGTTTTGTGCAAATGTTCAATCCAAACCAAACCTTAAATCTCATATGCCATATGCTTATTCAAATTGAATCTCACTCAGTCTGTTCTTGTCTGTTCCAGAGAAATGTTTGCAAGGTAATGGGGGTTGCAGTCACCAGTGTGTAGTGATCCCCAGCAAAGGGGTGGTATGTTCATGTCCCACCGGACTCCATCTAGGCTCTGACAACCGAACATGCGAGACAGTCGACTATTGCTCTGCTCACCTAAAGTGTAGTCAGATATGCGAACAGCATAAGACCACTGTCAAGTGCTCCTGTTATCCCGGCTGGAGCCTTGATCCAGATGGGGAGAGCTGCCACAGCACAGGTATTTAAATTCCTCACACTTACAGGTTACCATAGAAATGTCACCAGTCCCCTAAATCTATCCAGTAATATGCTGTATATATTACGGGTTGCACAGACTAGTCAACTTTAATGCTCTGCCATGACGCTTTAAGATTGACATCGACTAGGCCCTTTTCAATGGCCTATAGAAGGTGCAACAGGAAATAAATATTTGAAGTCAAACTGTTAAAAAGTCAAATAAATGCGTCCCCCGAGAGTGCTCCGTTTGGTTATACCATCTCGATGCTCAAATTTGATCGGGAGAATGCACATTTTAAAAATATGCTGCATTGTAACGCACACACATGTGCAATCATCCAGTAGCCCACAAAACTGTTCTGTAATAAAAGTTCTAGCATGTATTTCCCACTGCTTCACTATTAGTAGAGAGACAGGTTGGTTCTCAGTGAAATAACTGCACTGTGCATTTCTGTCTGATCTGTCCACGGTATACAGCAATACGAGCAACAGTAATACAATGACTGCGGGATGCACAGACAGGAGCTTCCCATTGAGAAGCTAATGTCTTTATAGCAGCATGCCTGCCAAATGCTTTTAAATTGTCTCAGGGAATCTGAATTTAGGTCATTAGTCAGAATATGACAACAAGCATCTGTGTGGTATTTTATGGACTTAGTGACATGTATAGCTCTTGAGAGTAAGTTCGTGCTCTAGTAGACAGCCACATTTATAGCTCTCAGCAGGCATCTCTAGTAGAAAAGATTGTTTCTTTCTCTTGTCTTTTTTTTTTTTTTTGGTAGGGGTGATGTTGCTTTGTAGATACAAAGCTGGAATGGAAACTTTTTTTATATATTCAATTATATAATATCTATTGAGAAAAAGGAGTCACATGCCTATTTGGGCGGGGTCTGAGCCGGTCCAACGCATTCTCATCCTTTAACGTCATATAGAACGCTATATGACAAAACAGCGCTTTACTACGCACATGGCACCCGTTATCGTTAATATAACACGCGCTGTGAGGGCTAAGTTTAGGTGTGGGGTAGGGTGTGCGTGTCATATTAACGCTAAAGGATTTATAACGTCTTGGGTTCGCGTGTTATATTAACGATAAAGGGTGCCATGTGCGTAGTATATCGCCGTTTTTGCATATAGCGTTCTATATGACGTTAATGGATGAGAACGGGCTGGCCGGTCGGCCATGATGGTAGGATACGCTATCGGTTACCAGGGGCAACGCCTTTAGAACCCATAGACTAACACAGTCTCATCCCAAAAAGTCATATAACTGACGTTTTGGGACGTATTTTGACCATACGTCAATATCAGCCTTTTTAGGGCCCCCTTAAACGTCGGTAGATGGCGATCCCGGGCTTTCATACAACTGACGCTTTACCTTTAACGTCAGTTAGGTGACGGGTTAGGTTTAGGTATGGGGTAGAGTTAGGATCCCATAACCTCATCTACCGACGTTTAAGGGGGCCCTAAAAAGGCGAATATTGACGTATAGTCAAAAGACGTCCCAAAACGTCAGTTATATGACGTCTTGGGGTGAGACCGGGTTGCATAGACGCGACTAAACATTCCAGAGCTCTTAAGTTTACGCGCATTTATTATTTTGGCAGGACAAAGACTGATCTAAGAATACGGGGAAAAAAGGAAGAAAGTAAAGCAATGCTAAAAGATAAGGCGAAAGAAAAGGGACCTTACAGGAACAAACTCACACAAAGTGCAAAACAGCAGTATTTGGAGAAGCACCATCAATATATTTGTTCTTTTGCACTAACAACAGTATTATTATTTTATTATTATTACTTATGTTGTCCATGAAACTTATGTTGTCCAAATAGCCTATATATTTCAGTTCTCAATAAATATTGTTAAGCCATATCAAGTTGTTTCAAACATTTATTTCAATGAAATAAAAAAGTAATGAACAAGGCACTCAAACAACACTTTTGCATATGTTCGTTAAGGCACGCCAAACAGTGAAAATCGTATACTAAAGGCAGCAGCAAACCCAGCAATCCGGCGTCTCCTCGTTAGATCAGACTCTCCCTGCTGTGTCAATTTTGGTAACCCCAAAAACTTAATTCCATTGTTCCTATGTTTTCCATATGTGTCGTGTGAGTTACTGGAGGAGTTTTTAACGCAGCAGTTACTTCCAGGCATGGTAAAACAGTGCGGTATTGCGAGAAACTCCTCTACTACCGAGCTAAAAACACACGTAATCGATACTGTTTTGCCGTGGGAATCCAACCAACATGGCGGAAAGGGGAGGGGCTCTGTACAATGACGTCAACTCCTCATTCTCAATATAATAAACACACCTCAAAGACCTGAATCTTTTGAGACCAATTTCACCTGCTGCACTTTTTGATCCACATAAAGACTACTCAAGTGTAAAACATCATTATTCTAAGGTTTCTCTAGAAGAACTGTTCCTGTAAATGTCTTTGATTAAAAATATAATCAACTAATTAGTGGTTCTGCATAGAAAAAATGTGCATGGCTGACACTTCAACACAAAGCTCAATGCTCTTGTATCCTCTAATGCACAGGTGTGGTGTGTTAATAATCAATTTGTTTCTTCTCCAAGATCCCTTTGAGGCCTTTGTTATCTTCTCTATCCGGCATGAGATCAGACGAATCGACCTTCATAAACGTGACTACAGCTTGCTCGTGCCCGGCCTGCGGAACACCATCGCTCTCGACTTCCACTTCAACCGCAGTTTGCTTTACTGGACCGACGTGGTGGAGGATAAGATCTATCGGGGAAAGCTCTCAGAGACCGGAGGTAATGAACACCCAAATTGATGTCCCATTCCCTCTTGGCCTTTGTTTAACCTAAGCTTTAGTTTGAGCGGATATTATTTCACGTCCCCTGAATAGTTTGCAATACAGGATGCATTGTGCGTACAATGGCTCTTTGAATGAAGCAGAAAACCTCTGAATACCCTTGTATTGTTTTGAAGACTATATTTTGAAGCTGCATTAAGCACACATCTGAGTCTCTCTCTCAGAGGAGCAGGCCCCGAGTGCAGCTATTGCTCCCTCCTTTTGTTAGACTTTCATAAAGCTCTCCACAGCTGAGAATAATTGCTAACTTGTTTACCACTGAGGTAAAACTTTTCTTTAATGCCAGTGTTTTCTTTTCCTGAGTTTTTTTTATTTATTTTATTTTCAGAAACCCCGTCAAAAAGATTAGCAAATGTTGCGTTTTGGATGCTGATTGGGCTGGTATGTTGGTGTCCATAGCAAGTTTCTTAAAGGAATAGTTCACCCAAAAAAATAAAAGTATTTTTTTGAGGAAAAGTTAATTTTCAGTGTATGGACAAGCTTTTTTATTTATTTGTATATCATCTTTTATTTTAAAGAGGTAATACAAGTTTGGAACCAGTGTTAATTAAGTATTATTTAGAATGAACATTAGTAGTAGTAGTAGTAGTATATTTTCAGGGGGTATTCCAGAAAGCAAGGTCAACTTACCATCAACATACCCTGAACTCTCGGATTAACCCAAACCTTGCTTAATCGAGGTATATGTAAGCAATGACGCACATCCGAGTGAACGAGACGGAGGGAAGTTAGCGCGTGAAGAGCATACCGATTTGGAGTGGAACGCACTCATGTAGAAGCCTTTCTTCTTTTGTTTAATGATGATTTACAATCTTAGTATATATCACCATCAACATATCGGTTTTGTAATAACTTTTTAATCATTTTAATCTTTAATCAGTTCGTTTATTGCTGTGAACAATAATTATATTGTTTGTTTGATGCTAATTATATATATATATATATAAAAAGAAACACTGATTTAACTAAAAAAAATTCTTTTGGGGTGGAGGGTGGGGGCTTTTTAGTGTAGGCCTATAGTAGGCTGTGTTATGTATTACTGATTGAATGTATGATTAGTTAATCTGTTTTGCACCCATCGCTACAGAGTTAAAGGGGTACTCCACTTTTTTTTTGGAAATGGGCTCATTTTACAACTCCCCCAGAGTTAAAGAGTTAAGTTTCACCGTTTTCAAATGCTTTCAGACAATTTTCTGATATTTAGAAGAATATCAGTAACCAGAGAGTTTCTGGTCTCATTGACTTCCATAGTAGGAAAAAATATATACTATGGAAGTCAATGAGACCAGAAACTGTCTGGTTACTGATATTCTTCTAAATATCTGAAAATCGGCTGAATGGATTCAAAAACGGTAAAACTCAACTGTTTAACTCTGGAAGAGTTAAAATGAGCATATTTCCAAAAAAAAAAGTGGAGTATCCCTTTAACCTTTTCTCGTTCACTTCACGTCTGTAGGCAGGGGCGTAGCACCAAATTCTGGGCCCTGTACACTCTCAATGTCAATGGGCCCCCTACACATGGCATTGTACGATGCGGGTTAGCAAAGTGAAAATTCAATTTTGAATGAAATGTATTTTTTTAATTATTTGAATATAAACAAATATAAACAGTGTTTAAATAATAAAATCAGATTATAGTAATGACTGGTTCTTTCATTCACCACCTGAATTGATGCATTTGGCCTACTTGTGCTCAAATACCTTTAAACCTTAGGCTACATCGGTTTTGTGTACTAACATTTTGATCCATGATACTGATGCAAGTTTTAAATGAAAAAACATTTATTTTTAAATAGGAGAACACAAGAACACGAGAGACAACTGTACCCTCAGAAACCAGGTTAAACTGATGCCACCAACTTTCTCAGTTGGTCGCATCAGCATTTGATTTCGTCGCGGTTTTTTTATTTTTTTTGCTACATGCCATGGGATTAATCAATGCATGCCGATGAATAGTGGTTTTAATGGACCAAAGCCAGCAAAGGCTTACCATAAATACCTGTAATATATTAATTATCATTGCCAAATTTCGGGATTTTCATGGATTTTGGACAGTAATTTTAATCTGTAATTTTAAGAATTTTACATTTGAATTACATTCAATCTATCTATTTACATTTGAATCATAATCTTCTGTGTCTGTCATTTTTCTATTAGCATCATATTTCTATCTTTTAAAAATCATTAAACATTCAAATGTACATTACATTTTAAAAGATTAGAGTATTACAACAAGCTAAAACAGATTTTTCGTTATCAAATTTTATAAGTTAGTTCAAAAATCAGAAATCTCACACTCCTTCCTCCTGCATTTTGTAATAATTTGTTTCCTGAGACATTTTCATTTTTATATATTTAATCATGAATTCGTAATTGGCGTGTTCCACCATCAGTGTGCAATGCGCGCGTGACGTCTTGCGGAAGTGCAATGCGCGCGTGATGTGTCTTGCGGAAGAACACTGTTGCCGGAGCTACTTCTCTCCATTAGGGTCTATGGCGAGTCACGCAGTCACTGGGCAACTTCGCATCCGAGTCAACCCCGGGAATCCGGGATAAAAAAATAGTCCAAATATAAACACTTATAACAGGCGTAGTGATTCAGGATAAGTCAAAAACACGGTTTGGAAAATGGATTCATGATGTAGCCTACTCGTTCGTTTTGAACATAAGTTACGGACTGCAGTCTGCAGCAGCTGATACAACGGTCGGTGTTCTTTTGCGCGAGCGTCCACTCGTATATATGCGACGCGACCACATCACATACAATTTTAACTCGCACAATCAAATTCTCAAAAAAATGGTCGCATATGAGACCAATTTGGTCGCAGTCTGGAACCCTGCATTAGCAGCAGCTGTCTGGGGTTGACTAAGTTACGTTAACTTTAATTGGATGTAACGTTAGGTGCATATAGCAAACTCAGTTCACCTTTTGAGAAGAAAGCAGTCATCAGCTGCTTCCCCGCATTCTGCCTCCTATCTTTTCCTTTCCTCTCTTTCTTTTTTTTAAAGCCCGATTTGGGCTTTTTGCACAGCATGATCAGATCAGGCTCCCGTTACAGGCTCTAGACTGCGTTAGGGTTATTACTTGTTTGCCGCCCGCTGCGTCTATGGGCGGTCGACGCATTGCGGACTAAACCATTTGGAAGGGGGTCCAGAGTGTCTGGCACTGAGTTCATTTTGGTCAATATTTTTTTTTAAATTATTATTAATGACATCAATTGGAGGGCCCAATTAATTCTAATTAGGTTTAAAAAAATTTTTTTTAAAAAATTGGTGGGATTTCAAAGGGCCCTCTCCCTAGACGGGGCCCTGGGTAGTCAGGTCCACTTTTCCCCCCACTACCACGCCCCTGTCTGTAGGCATTACGCACAGCTCAGTATGGCCGCTCCAATTTACCTCCAATGAAATCTAACCTTAATGTAATTGACAGAATTACTAAAAAAAAAAATATTTAGCTACCTAAAAGTTAAAGATTTTTAATAAAACTCGAGAGATGGTGGATGTGTTAAATTTCATGATTTATTAGTCTAGTAGAATTTTCTAAAAAAAATATTTTGCTACCTAAAAGTTAAATATTTTTTTGTGTCACGCATGGATGTCTATTTCCCTCATTTTAAATATATAAAACACATACGGACTAAGTACAGTACATAATCATTAACATTAATGGAGTAGATAAACAGACATTTCAATATACGCCTATTGGCATATTATATGCATTTTCGGAAAATTTATATTTCAAGTTTTTACTGCAAATGTCGAAATGCGCGCTCTTTGGTCCTTCAGAGTCACCACCGGAAAACATTTGGAATGGTTGTGTGGAATGTTTTAAGTGAATTTCGTTTTGTATAAATTGTATCTTTATTTTAATCAGTGTTTTTCATCAACAAATTGAAGAAGCAAATATAGTATATAATATAAGTAGGAAACGGAGGCGCCGGCGCGTGACCTGGAGCGCGTCTCGTAAATCAACCCGATCACACTAAATGTGTCTCTAGAGCACGAAGTGTTTATAGTGCAATTTATACGCGAAAATGAGTTTTTACGTGCATAGGATACGCATGGGTTGGTTAGGGTATAGTAGTGGTGTGGGGTGTATGTGTAGCTCTTACACAAAAATGAACTGCGTATCAAATGCACACGAAAACTGCGTATTATATGGACTTAAGAACTCATGTTCGCATATAAATTGCATGATAATACACAATGCGTGCTAATAAATAATCCTTACTGAATCCTTATGTGAATTTTACATTTAATTTTTGTTTAGCTATTTTGCTTCCAAATTTCTGTTATCATATATTATATAGAAAATGTCTTATTGGCAATAAATAAATACATAACACACTTTTGAGTGCAGATCCAAGATGTTTGAGATGAGGGCACATATGTTCTGAACACCTCTCAAATGAACTAACGCTGGATCATTCAGAACTTGCTACGGAGCAGGTTGGGTTTAGAGGATAACTTGTTATGGCTTACGTATCGTGAAAGTTACCCGAGGTTTTGGAACCTAAAGTTGAGGTTATCTTACTTAGGTATACCTATCCAGCTAAGTCACATAACCTGCTATCTAGAATATCCCCCAGTTTTCATTTTAATGTTAGTTTAAGTTTTAGTCATTTGCTTTTGTTTTTTGTTTTTAATTTATCTCTTATTGCCGAAAGAAAAATATGTTTTAGTTTTAGAGTGAACTACTCCTTTAACCAGCTTAACTACCAAGACTCTTTTTGCCAGCTTCATCAGAAAGACATTGCCAGTCGACCTTTATCATTTGCTGGTGAACAACATGACTAGAGCAGCATAAATCAGCATAGAAATGCATTCTGGTCCGAACTGGTCTTTTCTGCAAGGAGTAGCATTTTGAAGAGCTCAACACTTCAAAAGAAAGTTCAAAACGACCAGAATGCTTTGCTGTGCTGAATTCAAAACCCTGTCCACCCTCTGAACTAGCGCGAGTGGTTTGTTTTGTAGGTGTGACCGGGGTCGAGGTTGTGATTCAGCATGGTTTGGCCACCCCAGAGGGACTTGCCGTGGATTGGATTGCAGGAAACCTTTACTGGATAGACAGCAACTTGGATCAGATTGAGGTGGCCAAGCTGAATGGGGAAATGAGAACGACTTTGATTGCCGGTGGCATGGAGCACCCACGAGCGCTGGCTGTAGACCCAGGACAGGGGTGTGTATTAGTCTCAAAATGTACCACACCCTAATTTTCTTTCCTCATACTCTGCTTTTCTTAACATTCACAGCAGTGAGAGCAAACACTGAAAAAAAGTTCAATTTTTTTTGTTGTAATTTTCCCTCATAGAGTCTATCTTGGGTACATAACAGAGCAATCATATTTCAGGGGACTTGTTTGTCATCTATTACTAATGATAGTTCTAGAATAACACTCTGCATCTTGCTGTTCATTTGTTGTGGTCTGTTTCTTTTTTTGTCTCTTTACTCTCAGCTGTGCTCTTCTCTTGCTCAGCTCTACATTTCTCAAGGAGGCATGCTGGAAAAAAATGCCTCAAATTTGACGGCATAAGCTCGGAATAGACACACGGTGATCCCAGTAGCATTTGAGGACCTGGAATAATGCTCATTTTGACAATAAACAAAACACGGCTAGGAACACTAACATTTTGTTCATCAAAAACTTTTCACAATATGCCAAAATAGTTTTTTAGTTTTGTTCAAATTAATTTAAGTTACTGCAATGTATTGAAGAATCATTCATTTTATTGTACCTCTTGCAAAATTAAAGCTATAAAAAATTAAACTATATACAAATAACCTATTTTTTATTTGATAATTATTGTTACATTTGACAATATAATTAATGTTTTGCATTATTTTAGTGTTTAATAGTTTATTGAAGAAACATTTAGTTTCACATCTAACCGATTGAAGAATATCGCTGGTAGGACAGTCTTTTTTTTTTGGATAATATTTTAAATTTACAGCATTAACATTTAAGAGTATAACAGTAAAAAAAAAAAAAAAAAAAACACCTCATCCTACTGTAAAAAATGATCCTGTAAAAAAAAATGGTAAACTACTGGCAGCTGTGATTGACAGCATTATACCGTAAAAATACGGTGTGTTACTGTTTTTAAAATTAACAGCTCAATACCATTTTGTCGGCTACAGTATAAAACTGTCATTTAAACGCATATAGCTGTTAACACACCATATTTTTACGGTATAATGCTGGCAACCACAGCTGCCAGTAGTTTACCGTTTTTTTTTACAGGATTATTTTTTACAGTGTGGTCTCTGCCATGTTTTTGATGTGTTTTTCATAATACAGCAATCCTTTTGAAGGCAGATTTGTTTTTCATGTCATGTGGTCATATCACACAGGCACAAATAAAAGCATGTTAAATTATTTTCATCATCATTATTTATCAGTTTTTAATAATTTTGTTATATATTCCTAATGTTATACAGCTGCATTTTTGCCCAAAACCCTGTGAGGAACCCATAGAGGAGAATATGGTATCTCCACAGTCTAACTAGAGCTCATATTGGTGCTCAGTTGGATGACACACTGTAAAGTATTTCACTGAAAGCTGAACAGAACAATTAGGGAAAATATTCAAAGACTGATTTCACACACAACAGCGTGGCACATTTTAATAAGGACTCTAATTAATTATAGTTTCTCTAAAAAAATGCCCCACACAGCTATGTCATGAAGAGGTGTGTTGAAAATGTACTTCTGAAGGATTAGCTGTCTTGGTGATTAGCAAGTCTTTTATTTATTGAAAGTGTGGTTTAATGACTGGATGCCACTGGCTAAGTAATTGGCCTTCTAAAAAGAAGGCAGCTACATCCTTGCAGCAATATGACGCCTTTTTGCATGTTTTGTGCTTACCTGCTAGGCTCCTCAAACATTGTCAGTTTAATTGTTTCTGATGCCTGATGCAGGAAACATGATCACACATTTCATCAGCATATGTGCTTGATGCAAGTATTTAGCATTTTATAATCCCTGTATATTACCCCCATTAGAATGTGTCCTTTGCTTTCACGCCAAACCCACTGTTAACTTTGACACTAGTTAAAATTAACCCTCATGTTTGACATTGACTTCACTTGCAGACTCTTTCCTTACAGCATGCAAATAATCTATGATTTTACATTTAATTTTTTAAGCTTCTTTAATGATATTGAGCAGCAGCAGCACTGTTCTTAAGGGCAGCATATTTAATAGTTTACTATTAGTTCATTTAGACTCAAATAGACTCATTTAGAATAGTTAAGTGTCGTCGTGATTAGTAAATAGTTGTGTTTTTGATTTATTGGTGTTTTATTAGTTTAGTTTAGTTTATTTATTTATTTCAACTGGGACAATGTGTAAAAAAACAAACAAACAAAAAAAAAAAAAAAACATGAATTAAAGATGCTTTGCACCAGATTTAGCTTTAGCTAGTTTCCATTTAGTGCCAGCCCATTCTCACCCCCAAGGCGTCACCTAACTGACGCCTTGGGAAGCATTTGGACATGCTTCAATATCTGACGCTTTAGGCACCCTTTAGCGTCAGTAAGATGACGCCCTAGGATCGCGTGTACCCTACCCCCACCCCACCCCTAAACCTAACCGCGTCCTCTAACAGACGCTTTCCTTTAGCGTCAGTTAGATGACGCCGTAGGATCGCGTCATGTAAGTGACGCTAAAGGGCGCCTAAAACGTCAAATATTGAAGCATGGTCAAAGGTGACGCCTTGGGGTGAGAATGCGTTGTTAGTGCCCGAGCAGGTGAATTACAATACAAAATATACAATATAAAATGTAATTAGTCACTCTATTAGGAAGAATATTGTATTGTACACTCTAAAAAATTGCTTGGTTATTTTAACCCAATTTTGGGTCAAATGTGGACAAACCCCAGCCATTGGGTTACATTTTTTAATTACATTTTTTTAACCCAAAGTTTGGGTTTGTCCATATTTGACCTAAAGTTGGGTTAAAACAACCCAGCATTTTATGGGAAGAATGAGGTGGGAACTGGCAAACATTCAAAGATTTTAATAAATAAATAAACAAATACAAAAACGAAAGTAAAGATGGCAGTCCCCACCACACATAATAAAATACAGCCCATTCTCACCCCCAAGGCTTCACTTAACTGACGCCTTGGGAAGCATTTGGACATGCTTCAATATCTGACGCTTTAGGCGCCCTTTAGCGTTAGTAAGATGATGCCCTAGGATCGCGTGTACCCTACCCCCACCCCATACCTAAACCTAACCGCGTCCTCTAACTGACGCTTTCCTTTAGCGTCAGTTAGATGACGCCGTAGGATCGCGTCATGTAAGTGACGCTAAAGGGCGCCTAAAACGTCAAATATTGAAGCATGGTCAAAGGTGACGCCTTGGGGTGAGAATGCGTTGTAAAATAACACGACTAACTGGCCTGTTCCTCTCTTGCTCTTCACTGTCGTCGCTACTTCTTTATGCACTCCGCTGAGAGATACGAGACTGTTTACACTGATGGACTATGGTCAGATATGGTGTTTGACAAATGACAATATGTTTAGATGAATAGTTTATAATAACACTGTGTCCTAACCAGAATATGTTTCATGTTAATCAGTTTTTGTGCTGTCACAAAAGTTCTAGCAACGACAGCGACACACAATGATTCTATTTTTTTTTTCTATTTTTGACTATGAAAGTACACTCTAAAAAATGCTGGGTTGTTTTAACCCAACTTTGGGTCAAATATGGACTAACCCAGCTGTTGTTTTACATTACATTTTTAACCCAACATTTTGGGTTTGTCCATATTTGACCCAAAATTGGGTTAAAACAACCCAGCATTTTTTAGAGTGTATGATAATGATAATCTCAGCTACTGTTTATGTGCTTTATTTCATGTTAAAAGCATCTTTGAATATCATTTTGTGTCTTTTAAAAGTATTTTATAGGCATACTCAAAGCAACAATGGACAATTCACTTCAGATCTTCAAAATTAATGGAAACAAGCACGTTCAAACTCATTGTGAACAGACAAGTGTATTCTAAAGCAAAGATTGTTTCAGTAACTCAGTATATATTTATAAAAATGTGAATCTGATTGGCTGTGATTTTTGATTGACTATCGCGTCTTATAGTCGCAGAGTGTCTGGTTTGTGGCTCGCGTCTGGTTAGGACACGGTGTAAGGGTTTGAAATTAACAACCGCCAGCCCGCCAAATGCATGAAAATCCACTGTGGCGAATAACGCATATCAACACACCAGCCAATTTGGGAGGTTATGGTTAATAAATTATGATCTATCTCTTTTGCAAGACATCGCCTACAGAGCTCTTCTCCTAAAAAGAGCCTCAAACATTAGCATAACAAAGCGTAAAAAGGGTCTCACACCGAGAGAAACGCCACGTAGTGCCACGTCTTTAAAATCCGAACATTGTTTTCTACGCATACCGGCAGCACCACTCGGCGTCTATTGAGATGTGCTAAGCTGGAGCCCTAGGAGACTGTTAAGAGCCCACTTTTTTCTAACCTACTCTCATAAATGCCGCTTGTCCAAGACATAGAATAATTCAGAATCATATTGGCCGGAAACAATTTAGTTGCCAAATTGGCTGGTAAGAGAAACGTCTCGGTTATGTATGTAACCCTCGTTCCCTGAGTACAGGGATCCCAATTCATCAGGGAACTCCCCAACAACACGTTGGAGTTCACAGGACGAAAGGGAACAGTTAATTTCAAGCCCTGATTATAATCGTTAACATTTTTATTCTGTATGTAGCATACTTTTCTGGACTGACTGGGATGCCACTTTTCCTCGGATTGAGGCAACGTCAATGAGTGGGAGTGGAAGACATGTTGTGTACAAGGACATGGAGATAGGAGCCTGGCCTAATGGACTCACCCTAGACCATCAGGAAAGGAGAATAGTGTGGACAGATGCTCGGTAAGAGCAAATAATACAATTGCAAATGAAGATTTACATTTTGGTGCACATCGCAAGAGGCATTGGATTTAAGGCAACATACTTTAGCTTAGATGTTATATTTTTTTTAAGCAATACAAAATACATTTTGATGGTTATTAGTATAACTTAAATATTACATTTAAATCAGTAATGAATCAAATTATGGTTTTACATGTGATTCACTTTGATTGTTGGAATCGTATTCACTATTTGAAATGAAAAAAAAAATGTGCTTATTCTTTCAGAATGTCCCTCAGGAAGTTGTCATCTTTGTAACATCTTGTTGATATGGGCATAGAGTGCTGGTCTCACCTCATATTTCTTTTTCCCTTCAGCTCTGATGCAATATATTCTGCCCTGTACGATGGCACAGGGGTCATAGAGATTCTCAGGGGGCACGAGTACCTGTCACACCCGTTCGCTGTGTCTCTCTTTGGAGGTGGTGTGTACTGGACAGACTGGAGGACCAACACTTTAGCCAGAGCGAATAAATGGACAGGCCACAATGTAACTGTGATCCAAAAGACAAGCGCCCAGCCATTTGATCTGGAGATATATCATCCTAGCCGACAACCTCAAGGTGGGTTTTTAATTATTTAAGGGGGTTGATAATGAGTATATATATATATATATATATATATATATATAGTCATAAAAAATGTCCATTTAAATAAATAAATACTGACTAAAAATATTAAGTATGTCTTTGTTTGCCTGTGACCATTAACCGGCATCAGTGAACATGCAAATGTGTTAATTTATTGAAATTTTACATTCTCTTGGGCATTTTAAGTAAATATTTTAGGTCAAGATGCATGGGGTTCAGCTGACAAAGAGGTTTGGGAATCCCTGCCTTGAAATACTTGAAATTGTTAAATTGAAATGCATGAAATAGCTACTAATATTTACATTTACACTTATATTTATGTTTAAATGCTGTATTTATGTACTTTGCTGCGGACATCATGCTGACAGAAAAAAAAAAGAGACTGATAAATGAACAAATTACCTGAAATCAAAGAATAGTTACAGTGTTGTATATACACTAGCATCATGCATTTTGCTTGAGCTAACTAGACTAACAAAACTGTGTTGCCATAGGGACAACTTCTGTTTATTATATGTATAACAGGCATGACAGTTTTCTTGAGGTGTCTAGGCATAAAATCAGAAGAAAAGTTGCTACTGAAAAATCTCACCCATGATGGTGATCATCCAAATGTTCTGTCAGTGTTTAAACTCTTGTTTGACTCTCCTTTTTTCTGTTAGCGTTTGTACCCATGAGCTCAATCTGCATGCAAACCACATCACAGCAAGCCTTGCAGTTTGCCGTTGACCTAATGTGCTTAGCTGCGTGTACGTTATTGTAAAAAAATAAAATACTAATATGATCTGGCTATGTTCGGGAGACACGTAGAAATTTTTCTGCATGCTCTGTGTGGTGAGGATTCATTTAAGCCGAATCCCGCTGATCATTCATTTCTTCTGCCAATTTGGAAGCCCAAACGGCTCTGTTTGAGAGCAGCAGAATAATTGAAAAAGGGGGTCATGCAGAGCGTAAGCAGGCCTGACGTGGACTCAAGATGGGTTCTTTCCTCAACCCAAATTCATTTTAATTGTTTCATGGTACAATGTCACACAGGGCTTTGTTGCCAGCCAGGGCAGCAGATTATCTTCTGTTTAACAGACAGTGTCTGCTTCAATCTTTGAAGAAAAATAGGGGAAATATTATGCAAACATGACTTTTATTGGCATTATACAAGTTTATATTATATACACAGTCACACACACACACTATATATACAGTATATACATGTATGTATATACATACATACATACATACACACACACACACACACACACACACACTATACAGTATATATTATATATATATATATATATATATATATATATATATATACACCTTATATTCATGCTCAAAATATTACACACACCTTATGTTATGTTATGTTATGTTACATACACCATCTTAAATGTTATTTTTTAACAAAATAAGAGGGTTTATACAAAATGCATGTTATTTTTTTATTTTTTTTTATTTAGTACTGACCTCAATACATTATTTATAAAAATTTATAAAAAAATAACCCTATTTAAAAGGTTACATACCTGGTTACATTATATCTTAACACTGTGCTGTTACCTGGATGATCCACGACTGTTTTTTTTTTTTTTTTTTTTTTTTTTTTTTTTTTTGTGATGGTTGTTCTTGAGTTCATTGTTTGCCCTGAGCAAAACTGCCCACTGTTGTTCAGAAAAATCCTTAGATTCTTTACAAGATGCTTGAAAACTGAAGGATTTGCAGGACTGAAGGATTTTTTCTGAAGAAAATTGAGCAGTTTTGCTCAAGACAAACAAGAGACTCAAGAACAACCATCACAAAAAAAAAACCCTCTATATACATATCTCTCTAATACATATATTATATTAGTTGTATATTCATAACGATAATTAATCATCTCTGATTTTTAAAAATTGCATTTTGTAATTTGTAAAAGGTTAACTGAAGTTATTGTGATTGGCAATGTGCTAGGTGCCCAGATGTCCAAAAATGTAGCATTCTGCGAGTGTTCATCAGCCGAAATAATCTTATTTGCATGATTTCAAGCAGCCCAAAACTGTAGGGAGCCCTGCCAAACGGCTCATGTCTCCTGCCACAACACCGGCAGCCGGGTGACTGTTTTACACCGATAAGTGTCGACAAATTGTGCTACGTTGCCAGAAAAGCCAATAAGTATGGCTTATCTAATTTTAAACAGCTCATGGGAAGGTCTGGCTATTAAAGATGTCCAAAATCTGGGTACTGGCCCCTTACAGTCCATGGCAATTGTGTTTCTGTTTGGCCTATGCAGTTCTGGCAGGTTAGTGGTGGACCTCTGAGGGTCCGTAGGGAGTGAAAAGGAGCAACGCTAACTAGCCTAATGGGCTAAGGCTAACAGCCGTTAGCCAGCACATGGTAAATGCATAATGTGTGGTGAAAGAACTGAGGGTTGAGTTTCAAGAGATCGACACCAGTTTGGAGGGCTCCCATTTTTAGCGCCTGTGTGGCCTGCAGTGTTGTACGCTCTATTCCAGCACATTGCTGACAGGCTAACCACTTCAATATTACTAATGGAGTTTGCAGACACAGACAGGGTGTATCTTGTCGTATTCGGACAAGGCTGAAGCAGTGAAAATACAAATTATATTTTCTGCAATCTCTTTACATACAGTGTTGTTAAGGTCAGATGTATGTTTAAGAAGTAAGTTTTATGAAATCAGTACATTCAAATCAAGTGTTTCTATCATGAGTCAAGTGCACTGCGCACTGTTTATACTGTATTTATTCAAGAAGCCCCCCCAACCCGCCGCATAATCAGCTGAATGTATAATTGATTCTATGGGATTCTTGCCTATAATTTGCTCACTTGAAATGATTTGTTATTTTCACTTGCAAAAATAGGCTTCCTACATAAGTGAAATGGGTTCAGCATCGGAAAGAAATAATGGGCCTATATTCAAACACCCACTGGATCAATTATTTACAAGATGCAACTGCTTGTGGAGTTAATTGGATGTAGTTGCTCTGGGTTCGTAGAAGGGTTAAAGTCTATTGACTAGAGGCAGTAGTGGCAACTCTATAAATAAACATAATAAATGTTACTTGAGCAACAAATCAACATATTAGAATGATTTCTGAAGGATCTTGTGACACGCTGAAGACTGGAGTAATGATGCTGAAAATTCAGCTTTCCCATCACAGGAATAAAATGTTAACACTAGAAGTGCCAGAATTCCAAAACTACTAGAACGGCCACAAACGGTCATTTTGACTGTTAGATTCAAAACAGTGTTGATGAATAATTTTCGTAATTATTTTTGTCAACCACATTTTTTCAAAGACGAAAACGAGACAATAACTAAATAAAAACTAGGGTTGAATGACAAAAACTATGACGAAAATGTTAGATAGTGGCGATTTGCGACGCGGTCAAGGCTAATAATAATAGGAATAAAAAATAATAGGACTCGCAGAACTAGTGAACAGCCAATGCAGCAAAACAAACAGCGCAGGACAGGGCAGCAGAGCTCACCACGATCATCCGACATGAATGGACCATCTGGATCGGCCGTGTCTGATGATAGCAGCCGTCTCTTTTTCCTTGATGTGGACTCTGACTCTGAATCACTCTCTGATGAGGAGGAAATGTTAACTTGCACCCAGGAAACGTCGCTGTCACTTTCCACCTCCGATTGTTCCCCTGCATCCGAATTATAGATAACTGTAGTCCGGTTTTATTGCTTATTTCTGATCAACAACTAATGTAGAAATTATTATATAGCAAACACAGCTACAGAGGTGATCGGACGGACCATTCTGTTGACAGTTGGGAGAGAACACGATCAACCGCGGGATATTTAACAAAAAAATACCGCAAAATTCAGTGCGGTCAATATGACCGTCTATGGCCGAAATAGGTAAATATGTTCATTTTTTTTTTGTTTTGCCTTACGTTTACATAACTTAATTTATATGAAAAGCATTTTAAATGAAAATACAGACAATTTTAGGAAAAGTCAGGTACCAGCAGGATTTTATTATTTTTTTCAACAAAGTTATTGTAGATATAAAATTCAAAACGGTCAAAATGACCGTTGTGGCCGTTCTAGTGTTAATACAGTTTTATTAGTTTGTAAAAATATTGCATTTTTACTATATTTTTGATCAAATAAATGCATCCTTTGTGAGCATTAGAGACTTATTTTATAAGTATATATGTGTGTATATATATATATATATATATATATATATATATATTACAACCTCAAACTTTAAATTTTTTTAAAATAAAATAATAAAATAAAATATTTTACCATTTGTCATTTTCAGTTATTATATTTATTGTGCTAAAATATACTTATTGTACTAAAATAACTAAAACTGAAATAAACAGATATAAGACTATAATATATTTATATAAATAGTATGTATATGAATAAACATCAATAATAAGTAAAATGTCAAAAAATACTTTCAGTATATACATGTATGTAATTTTTTATATACTGTACATTGTTTTAAACTTTGAACATTACACACCATGTTTAATTATTCTTAATTGAACTGCCAACTTTACCTAACCTGACTACATCAGACTTCGTACTTCCGCTCTATTTAATGAAGCAATGTAGCAGAGTTTGGTATTACCAGGCTAAAGTTTACCAAGAATATGGCTTTATTTCCCTGTGAAATGTCAAGAATGTCATTATTGTAGCGCAAAAGTACGTTAATATAATGCGCGAGCGCGAATCTCAATACTCGCACGCGGAATATAATGTTCCGAGTGCGATTTCTCTCTCCTCTCAGATACACGCCCCTCTTGTAAGAATTTTCTCTGGGCTCGCTCAGAGAATATGCCTGCACTTAAAACGTATTCAGTGCAAGCGCGAAAATCTCCTCTTCACTTGAAGTAAGCGTGTATGTGCTTAGACTGTGTCCCGTGCGTTTGTGCATGCCTAATTACTCTTCTCTTCAATTTCTTTCACTGTCAAAACAACAACAACCAATCAGAAATTGCAATTCCATATGTTATGTAGAGTCCCCAGCCCCCCCACCCCCCCCCCTTTTTTCTGCTGTTCTCTGTAAAGCACTTTGGCTAGCCAGTGGCTGTTGTAAAAATTAGCTAAATTAAATGAACTTTAACTTGTGATTGTCATTGGTAGTTTTCGGTCATAATCCTTGTCCCATTGTCTCTTGTCTAGCTTTGTTCCCTGTACCATAGTTGGCGATTCTATGTTTAGTCCAAGTTCATGTCCATGTTAATTTCATATTATCACTTCAACCCAAATCGGTTTGTTGGAATAAACTATACTTGGGTTCAATTCAACTTCAGTGGACTACATTACACCTATTATAGACATGATTCATGGGTCTTTTTATTAAATGATCTCTCTAGAGCTTTTTGTCTTAAATTTAAAATCTGAACCTTCTTGTTTTAGGTTCTTCATATAGGCCTATTATATAGGCTACCTTGTATAAAAAGTTTTAACCTTTCTTAATGTTTTTATTATTATTATTATTGAATGAAACGTTTTCCATTATCTTAGAAAAACATTAAGAGAACATTTTTTTAATGGGAGAATTCAACGTTTGAATAACATTCTTATAACCAAGCAAGGATGTTACTCTAATACAATGTTTATATAATGGGAGAATTGACCTTTCTAACGTTATTATAACCAGGAAATAACATTAATACAACATTTATAACCTAAAATTGTTAGCTGGGGAAGAGGAGAAATTTGCTCGCGAGCAGAGAGATTCACGCTCGGCACATCATGTTCCGCGTGCGAGCAGAGAGATTCACGCTCTCGCATTATATTAATGTACTTTCGCTCTATAATAATGCGCTCTCAATTTTTGACAGGGAAATAATGCCACACAAGAATGACTGAAATGTTGCAGTTTGTTGAGGGCAGTGTTAAACTGTAATTGACAAAATTCAGTGATGAGAAAAGAAATTACTCTCATCCTCATTCCAGCTTGCCTTTTAAATATATCTTTCCAAGGAAGATTTTTACCATCAATCTGTGAAAGATCTGATGGTTAAATGACTATTCACACCAGTAGCCTTCTGGCCATTATCTGTCCACTCAACATTAACTTCCGTTGATATATAGAAGCCCCTTTGCAAAGAGTTTTGCAAAAGGTCTAAATGTGCTGTCGTGTCAAGAAGATCCCTGTGGGTGCAAGGCATGAGCTGTCAGCACTGTTCATTCAACCTCAGCTCTTTTCTTTATCCTGGAATTCAGATGAATGTTTTCAGTCTTATGTTTTGCACCCATTTTTACGTTCCCCTTTTTAAATATAGACATCTGAACGGTCACATCTCAAATCAAAGGCCGTCCTTCCTCATCAAGTAAAGTAATTCTGTCCAGTACAGTTTTTTTTATTTCCTGTTGTAAGTCGGAAGCTGTTCCTGGCTCCTTTTAGGAGAGCTGTTGCATCTGTTCATAAGATGTGATATTGATTTTTCTCCTTATGTTTTCTTCACCTGGTTTAAATGCGTGTCACCCTGGGTTTTTCAGCTTCAAACCCATGCGAAGGAAACGATGGAAGAGGTCCTTGCTCCCACCTTTGTCTCATTGATTATAATCGCACGGCATCCTGTTCGTGTCCTCACCTCATGAAGCTTTCCCTCAACAACCGCTCTTGTGTGGGTGAGTAACATCCCTCACACAAAAGTATGGATCAGTTTGAGCATTTTGTTGAGGAAGTATTGACGGATATATATTTTTTTTGTTTGTTGTTTTGTTGTTGTTTTGGCATCAGCACTGAAAAAGTTCCTTTTGTATGTGAGGCGTTCTGAGATCCGTGGGGTGGACATTGATAACCCATACATGAATGTCATGACTGCTTTGACGGTTCCCGACATTGATGATGTCACTGTGGTGGATTACGATGCTCTTGAGGAACGGATTTATTGGGCAGACGTTAAAACTCAAACAATAAAGCGTGCATTCATCAACGGAACAGGCCTTCAAACCGTCATTTCCGGAGGTGAGTCAAAACAAGTCCAAAACTTATGTGTTTTTTTTTTGTTTTGTTTTTTTCATGTTCTGCGTGGTTATGTAAGGTTTTT